GCTGTCTGCGTCTGCGCGCGAGGAACTGCGCAGACTTCTGGAGTTCATGGCAGCAGCTGCAGACGCTGCGAGTGTCCGGCTGCACAGAGAAGTGAGGAGTCCTAATGCATGTGAGGAGTTATTCACCACACATCTGTCATGTTTACACTTATTTTGAATCTGATTCTTCAGATTGAAAACCGGGTGGTTGTGAAGAAGACGTTCACCAGAGCCGTCATCCAGAGCAAGAGTCTGACCAAAGGAAAGATGGACCTGCTGATGCTCTTCATGCTCGACAACCACCAGGAGATCTTCAAGGTTTCTCTCATTTATGTGCCAGAAAGTGATGATGATCAATAATGATATAATATCAGAAAGAAGCTGTTGTGCATTACAGTTTGACCTTTTATTAGATTCCAGGTTCTCTTCACAAACTGGTCAGTGAGAAACTGGATGACATTATGAAACAAAGTGATTCTACGTCTACCGGTATGTTGTTTACAGTGTTGAGTATATATATATATATATATATATATATATATATATATATATATATATATATATATATATATATATATATAATTTTTTTTTTTTTTTTTTTTGCTAGTATTTTAAATTTGCCTTATATTTTTTAGTTTTAATTTGTTTAATTTTGGTTATGATTCATTTGTCATTTTAGTTTGAATCACTTTAATTAGTTAATTTAACTAAACTAAACTTATTTCAGTTTTATTTATTAATACTTTAGTAGTTTTAATTTGTTGTTTGCCAAGGCAACATTTCAATCTTCAATTTTTTATCTAATATTTATTTAATTTCAGGTTTATTTTTATTTATTTATTTATTTATTTTCATTTGTTTTCTTTTTCATTTTTCATTTCAGTTTGTTGATTGCCAAGGCAACATTTCTAATTTTCATTTGACTTTTTTAATCTAATATTTATATTTCATTACAGGTTTATTTTATTTTTATTTTATTTATCTGTATTTTTATTTATTTAGTTTTTTTCGGCATTCATTATAATTTGTTGATTGCCAAGGCAACATTTCTAATTTTCATTTGACTTTTTTTCATCTAATATTTATGTTTGATTTCAGGTTTTTATTTATTTTTCATTTATTTATTTATACTTTTTTCTTTTCAACTTTCAGTTTAATTTGTTGTTTGCCAAGGCAGCATTTCTAGTTTAAGTTTTTCATCGAATTTATTTTATTTCAGCTCTATTTCGTTTATATAGTAGGCTATTGTTGTTTTTATTATTCATTTTTAATTGGCTATTATTCTTTATATTCTCATTTCATTTTAATTAGTAATTTTTATAATTATTATAATGTGCTTTGTCACTTTTTTTTTTCTTCTTTTTTTTACATTATTTGGGTCATTTATTTAATTTTTATCTATTTGGGTAAATATTATTGTTTTAGTTCAATTTTAATTTGTTATTTTAGTGCTTTATTTCATTTAAGCTTTATTTAAATTAACAAATGTTTTTAACAATTTTACTTATTGATAATAACCCTGGATATGTATATATTATTGTGTGACCATTTAACGTGGCCATGATGATGTTCGTGTGACAAGTATTAATTGCATTTATCTTCTGAATATTAGACACCCCAATTTGTCAGCGAGTGGCAAGAGACGCATACACAGAGACCATAAAGAACGAGACTAAAAACGAGCTGTACTCTCTCCTGAAAAACATCGACGAAAACACCAAATATTCCCTGAAAGAGAAGAATCGACTCCTGGCACAGTTTTATAAGGGACATCCAGACATCTTCACGCAGTATTTTGGGTCTAGACTGAGCACACTAAACCTTCTTGAAGTTTAAGTTCACGGTGTCCTGGAAATGCTTTTTGTGAATGTCTTTATCCAAATAAATCTAAATAAACATATATTTAAGTGTAAATAAGAACAGTGTGCATGTGTCTTTGAATAGTAACAATACATTTGATTTTCCTCCTTGGTGGGAAAATAGTTCTTGATGGGTCTAAAAATACATTTTCCTTCATAAATAATAAAGTTTCGTCATGCTGGCATGTGTGGAAAGTTTTTACCCATGTTTGTTTCAACCAGTCTATGGTTACAACTATAGCCCGCAGTAGTTTGTGTTCGCTCACCCCCATACTCATTCTTTTGAATAACATTTATAAATAGAAGTGGGAGTGTTAAACAAATGGGTTGTTCAGTTTTGCAATATTATGTTCATAGCTTCATAAAAAAAAGTGTTAAAATGCAGCAACTTATCAGATATAATAACAGAAATAATATTTTTCAGGGCTTTTCATGCTATCTTATTGTCTTTCATTAAAGTTTTGTTGTGCTGTACGTATATTTGTACTGATGCACTTATATGTATGTCGCAAGCGTTTTTAATTAAATTTGCTGAATGTTATTACGAACATCACCTTTTATTTAGTGTCCTGTGCCTTTAATGCTGATGCGTCTCCAGTAGCGCCTGTGGCTCCGTCCATTCTTTACGCGTTTCAAACTCTGATTGGCTCTTCAAACCTAGACAGACACAAGCCCGTCCAATCAGAATCCGTTGGGTTGGGACACGTCACATATAGCAGCGTGCGCTTCCAGCGGCTGTTCTCAGATCAGTTTGAGGGGGTGTATGTTCCCATAGTGATTATACTTCCTTATCTGTTCCTGGATCAGTTATAGTGCTCAAATCCCGCCCGGGTTTGATCCTAATGTCTGGGGCGCAGCTTAAATCTCCTCCCCGGATGCCCCAGAAACCCTAAAACACAGTCATCGCCACACACACAGTTTTTTCGGGTCGTTCATGGTGCGGATCTGCGAGAGGAGGATGAAGTTTTTGGTGGCAGTCACATTGATCGTTGGCTCGGTGATTTTCCTGCTTTTCCCGAGCGGATCAGAGGCGGATGAGAAGAAAAAGGGACCAAAAGTCACGGCTAAGGTACAGAGACGCTGCGCTACATGCACTGCAACATTGAATCTGGCCTATCGGATACAAATGATGGAATTCGAATTTCTAATGTTGCGTTCACACTTAAATTCAGCGTGCTAGATTCGTGGAGCCAGTTTCTTTTTGCTTGCAAAGTATCGGTTTTGCGTTTTCATTTGCATTTACCAAAGTTCATTGGTTTTGTGCAAAATATAACATAATAATAAGGTCGGTAACACTACACAAATGTTTCATAATTTAATGTTGCGTCAGTATTTGTCACTTAAACCGTAGTCTGATGATAAGTGGGGGGTTTGTGGCCTCTTGGTGGAGTGGAATTCCTATAATATAATGCACTGATTTTTGATGTACTGGTGTAACTCTGGATTTGGTGGGTTGTTTTCCCAGGTGTACTTCGATATCAGGATTGGAGATGAGGATGTAGGACGGATAGTTATTGGACTCTTTGGAAAGACTGTCCCTAAAACGACGGAAAATTTCCTCCTGCTGGCCACTGGAGAGGTGAGTGTGTCTTTCCACTGGGGGTCAGTATTCATGAATCACAGTCAATTGAGACTAAATTGTGTGATTCCGATTTCCAGAAAGGATTTGGTTACAAAGGCAGCAAGTTTCATCGGGTGATTAAAGACTTCATGATCCAGGGAGGCGATTTCACCAGGGGAGATGGAACCGGAGGTATTGAAATACTAAAAAATACTTATCTTTGTTACCATTTATGATGTCATGAGATTAGAACTAAAAGTCATCAGCCCAATATTACGAAAATTTGGGGGTTTGATGTCGCTCAAATGTTAAAAACGCCCAATAAACTGATATTTCTAACACCTCTGTCTGTCTTTATGTAGGTAAGAGCATCTATGGAGACCGTTTCCCTGATGAGAACTTCAAGCTGAAGCATTACGGTCCTGGTTGGCTCAGCATGGCCAATGCCGGCAAAGACACCAACGGCTCCCAGTTCTTCATCACCACGGTCCAAACGCCATGGCTGGACGGCAAACATGTTGTGTTTGGCAAAATCCTGGAGGGTCTGGTGAGTATCTCCACTTCGTCCGTCTGTAGAGACGCTCTTCCTTAGTTATTTACCTGAACTTAACAGTCAGGAATCATATAGAAGTGCTTTACTCCAGAGAATTGTGCTAATTTTGAGTTTCCCTTTGTCTTCAAGGATGTTGTGAAAAAGATCGAGGGCACGAAGACCGATGGCCGAGATAAACCCCTCAAGGACATCACTATCCACGACAGCGGCAAGCTCGAAGTGGAAAAGCCTTTCGCAGTTGCTAAAGAGTAATTTAAGTTTGAAGAAACAATGGGACTCTGGGTTTAAGGGGATTTAATTTGGTGCCACTAGTTCTAGTGGAAAGTGAGCGCTTGAGTGCGCGTGTGTGTGAGAGAGTGTGTGTATGTGGTTATTGGAGCTCCGCCCCCTTCGTGGGAGCGTCACACACCAGTCCTGATCCGCAGAGCGGCACATCCTGGGTCCAGTTCTAACAGGCATTCCAATCGGTCCGGTTTCTGACCCACTTCAACCTGCTTTTATAATCAAATCTTCAATAAAGGATCCAGGTTTTCTTAATGCTGTTGTCTCGCTTGAATAATTCCTTGTTTTTTTGACCAAGAACAAATCAGACACTCTTTATTTAACAAAAATACTCTTTTAAAATACAGACAAATGGCTTGACACAGTCAAAATCAGTGATCTAAACCATGGTTTGAAATGTGAATTTCATGATGAAATGTAAAAGTTTTTTTTTTTTTACAGAATTTTAAAGGGAAAAATATATGAAAAGAATGTTTAAATATCTCATTTATAAGACCATAAAGATTTGTCTGTGACAATTAAGCACAAAACCAAATAATATAGTAACAAACATTACCAGCACAACTGTTTTCAACATTGACAATAAATGGGTCTTGAGCTCCAAATCAGCACAGTTTTATTTTAAACTAATATTTCACAATATAGTGAAATATTTTAATATAGTATAATATTTAATATAGTAACACATCGTTTAAAAAATCATTACAACTAATTATACATCATTGTAATATGTAATTAATATATATTTATGTTTGTCCATCATATAATTGATGGGGCTCCTAAAAAAAAAATCTTAACTATTTTCTTAGATTTTAAGATTGGAAAATGGCCTAGACCGTTTCTAGACGAGATTCAGTCGATATAAACATGCAAAGGCAGATTTAGACAGGTGGAGTTGCTAGGCAACACTGCAGCGATGCACTTATGTTCTCCGTGACTCTGGCAGGGACCTGATGTCACTTCTGTTTATGGTAATGATGGGGATTCTGGGATACACGGGCAGCTCTGGTGCACAGGCGAGGACACTGGGTTTACCACAGCTCTTCTTGAAACTCACTTTGACGTCTCTGGGGTACATACCCTGCAGGACACCGGCCGCCACGATATCAGGGAGATCTGTGAGGGGGAAATGACCACAACACACAGTTTCCCAGGATGGTTTTTGAGTGTAAAAAAGACATTTCTGTAATGAAATCACAACAATCTCCCAGGTTTACCTGATCTGGATTCAAGCTGGTAAGGGTCTGCCGAGAAACCAACTACTCTCTGATGGAATGACTGAAATCTATAAAAAGACATCGTTCAGAGAACATGAATGCTGTTTAGAATAAATTAGAATCCAAATGTAGGTGTAATAAATAAGCAGGCTAAATGAGATGAGGATGAACACACCTGTATCCTTGCTCTTGACAGTCATCCGAGTGGTTTTCACTGAAAGGACATTAATAAGTTAATATTGTTATTCATTTCCTTAAATAATATTGCTCTTAACTATTAAACTTTTAACTGTTTAAATGATTTTCCTTAAAGTCCCCATATATGCTATTTTTTAAATGTTCCTAATTTTAACAGGTTTGCATGCATTAATCATAAAAAAACCACACTATTTTTCTAATAAATAAACACTGCAGCATCAGCTCTCTTCTCAGTGTCTGAAACGCTTTGATAAAGGATTCGGTCTCTCTAAACCCCTCCTTTCTGAGAGTCTACTCTGCTCTGATTAGTCAGATGGTTCAATGAAGACCATAATCTGGCATTATGCAAATGTGTTACAAACATAGGTCCAAGCGGGAAATAAGACTGAATTACTTATGAATCGAAACGGTTCTTCCTTTTAGGAGACAATAACTCAATTTATCAAGCACTCTGATCTATGAAACTTTGAAGGCAATATGCGAAAAAGCATAATAGGGGGAGTTTAAAATGTAGAGACATTGATAGATTACACTGTGATCTGGTATAAACACATACTCAGAGCTGCAGGTCTTGCTCGCTGAATGAAAATGTTTGACCTGCAGGAAGTCCAGGAGCTCTTGAGGAACAACATCATTCTGATACAGAATCACCTGCAATTGGCAGCCAATGAATAAAACATTACAACATCAGTGTGACATTATATTACAATGTTAATATATTTCAATATATTTGATATAATATTTAATATATACAACAGTTCAAAAGATTGGGGTCAGTATGGATGTTTTGAAAGAAGTCGATCTCATCAAGGCTGCATTTATATGATCAAAAAAACAGTAATATTGTGAAATATTATTAAAAAAAATTAAAACAAATTGCTGATATGATGCTCAAGAACCATTTATTGTCATCAATGTTGAAAACAGTTGTGCTGCTTAATATGTTTGTGAAAACCGTAGTACATTTTATGAGGATACTTTGATGATTAGAAAGTTCAAAAGAACAGCCTTTATTTGAAATAGAAAATGATTATAAATGACTTTCTTTACTGTCAATTTTAAACAAATTGCATCTTTGCTGAAAAGAATTCTTTCACGAAGAGAAATTATTGAACAGTAGCCTATGTCTAATAATAGAAAGCATACAATAAGAGTATTTATTCCACATCATTAATATACACTAAAAACAAAACAATGAGGGGTGAAAATGATATATTAGGAGGAATAGCATACTACTCGTACTATATTTGTGAAGTAGCCTATGCTGGACGTAGACTGTGACTGTGTGTTAAAATGAAAATAAAATAAAAGGTAATTATAAATATGAATAAATTATATAATAGCATATAGGGTGGGTCTCCACCTGGATGTAGTCTTCCAGTTCCTGTTGTCTTTGCTCCAGTGGTTTGGTTCGCAGGTGCTGGTTTCTCTTACTAGGGAAATCGGGAGCGCGCACAATCTTCTTCAGCTTCCTGTGAAGCGTCTGAAAATCACTGTATCGCCGCAAAACAAAGTGTTTCCTTCCATTGAAGAGAATCTCCACCCTGAAGAGCTGAAATACAAGAAAGTTCATATCACAAAACCTGTAAACGATTAAATCAGACTTCACTAAAACTAAATAACTACCACGAGACAACACATAGTGCAGTGATGATTCTTGACCAGCAGGAGGCGCCAGTGCCTATTCTCCAGCATCAGTGCGCCCTCTAGAGCTCGGATGTGCTCACGGCAGGTTACAACAGCAGATATTGGCAATTATTAGTCAAATTCAAGTTTTCTTTCCATCAGAATTAATTCAGAAATTCCAAAGACTATCCAGTGATATCCAAAGACTATCCTCATCAAAAATAACAGTACAAAAGTTTAGTCTTAATATAGGTTGTGTAAATTTACACAGGTTAAATCAGCACAGGTGTGGCAGTTCTTCAGGATCACACCCTCTTTACAAAGACTCGTGGGGCTTTATTGTCAACAACACAAAGACATGTCAATGTGACATATCTAAACCTTTCATCTCCAGAGATCCTGACAGAACAACAGTATTTTTACTGGTTCTATCAGCCATTGAGCTCCATGTGAGAGATATTATAAAAATTCATGTGTATTGCGAATGGGAAACTGCTATATTAGTTTAAAAGAAATAGTAAGTATTAGTATAAACCTTGCAGTATGCAGGTGAATAGGCTACTGTATTTCACAATACACTGATAATTTGGTCAAACTGCTAAGAGAGATGTTAAAAATGACTTGTTTTGACATGAGGTCATGTGACGACAACTGATATGTTTGAATGGTTTTGATTACTCATAGCCAGAATTCAGTGTATACTACACTAGTACTCTATTGCCAGTAACCTTGCTGTGTGAGAGCAGATCTGAGAATTAGCAGTTTCCCGTTTTCCAACCATAACAAAGGAACACAGAACATTCAGTTCCAGCTAACATTTCCCACTGTGAGCTCAATCTTTCGCTTCTCAATACCTCAAATATTTTTTCTCTCCGAATCAGAGGTAGAGAGAGAGAGAGAGAGAGAGAGAGAGAGAGAGAGAGAGAGAGAGAGAGAGAGAGAGAGAGAGAGAGAGAGAGAGAGAGAGAGAGAGAGAGAGAGAGAGAGAGAGAGAGAAATAAAAATAAAATGATTGTTTCTCAAGCATGTTTTGACAAGTCTGTGCTCAAGCATGCTCAACACAGTGATGGGAACTATCTATGCAGTGTTATGATCAGCTCAGACTAAAAAAACTCAGGAAATGTAGAGCTATTTAAGCATTTAAAAGCATTTAAACCTGTATGACACAAAAGCAAAATATTCACACTGCTCTTTTCCTTACAATGAAAGTGAATACTGTCAAACAATATGTTTAAAATAATATGCAGTTATTTATAAATAAATATACAGTATATGTATTATACATATAAATGTGTGAATAAATTATTTAATATATAAATAGAATTAAATAAATATATCATATATTAAAATATGAATGCTCTTTTTCTTACAATGAAGGTGAATAGGCTGTCAAACTAATCGCCTTTAATTTATGTATAATTTGTATGACTTGGAGTCCATATATACTACTTTTATGATATTTAAAAAAAAAATGTATTGGTGCATGGCAGCCTCAGTCCCCTTAATTTTCATTTTATGGAAAACATTTAACAGAAAAACTCACATAATGGCTTGGGGGGAAAAACTCGCATTTAAAGTTTGGAACAACATGAGAGTGAGCAAATGATGACAAATTGTCATTTTTAGTTGAAATATCCCTTCAAATCAGGCAATTCTACACAATTAGCCGTGAAATTCTAGTACACCGTCTACAGAACGTATACGTCTTTGTTCTCGCTGAGCTTTCTGGGTAAAGTGAGTTAGTGCAGGCGGGTGGAGAGAGCATTGGTTAGCCATGCCGAGGACACACGTCTGTTTCGGGCACTGTATGTGTGTTTTCAGATTTAACCCCAGTTTCTCCCTCTCTCGTTCTTATAGAGCTCTCATTGTTGCTGATGTTCAGAGCCGGATACTTCCGCTAGGACGAAGAGCTTCTTTCGCACACACAAATCACTCTATTCATCTTTCTCGACTGTGACCTCTGACCTCCGTTTTTCTGAAGTTCTCCAGTTCTCTGTGTTCTGAGATGTTTTCATGGCCTACTGGATCTGACAGGTGTGAGTGTGTGTGTCGGGCATTACGGCTTTGACTGACATCAGCATGTTGCCGTGTGGTTTGCGATTCAGCTGTTCTACTTTTAGCAACTGCCCCCGTTAAAGCCTCTCGTTCAGACAGACTTCTGTCCGCAAAAGCGCCACCATTTCTGATAGGTCATACAGAAAACACAGGATGTGAGAGAAATGCACACGTTCTAATTCAAAACAGTCCAATATTAGAGTTTGCTCAGACGATTCGACTCCATCTGATCTGATAAATGCACAAAAACTGCGTCGTTTTAACTTGAGGACACCAAATCTCAAGTTAAATGTTTTGCATGTTTTGAAAGCACAGTGACTCTCTTTCCTTCACTCTTGGCTGGGTCGGTTCTGTTGCAGCTGGACTTCACACGACACACTGGTTCTAGTATTTCAAAAAGACACAAGACAGCGCAATAAACTACTCAAATAATCCAGGATTAAGAGTAAAATTCAATATTCAGAAAAACATTTAGATCTTTCGTTTAAAGAGGCCATTATGCCCTTTATAAAGTCTTGATTTTGTTTTTTAGAATAGGTTTTCATGCTTGAATGTTCAAAAAACGCCTTTTTTTTCGGAGCGTCTATTTACACTAAGTCCAAATAGCCCCAATAAGGGACAATTTATTGATTTAATCCATTAAATAAATAATATAATAATTTACACTGTGTTATTATTGTATACTGTTAATGTACAACAACACTGAGGTGCAAATAGCACCTCTCTTCCCAGTCTGTCAGTAACGTCAAAGCCTCTTAAACAAGGCAAGCCTCCAAGGTTAGCGGAAAAATCGCAACGCCTGCTAACGCTGCGCTACTGAGGCAAGGAGAACAGAGGCTGTTTTTTTAATGGATGTCAATGGAGGAAAGGCTTTTTTGTTTTTTGGATTGATCTATTTTTAGAGTTTACACCAAGAATAATTGGTGACAGGTATAGTTTACGGCACTTCTCATTCATTTCTATGATATTCGCAAACGATGATTGACTGTCGCACAACTCTGAACGAAATTCAATGACGTCAGTGCTGTGATCTGATTGGTTATTAAAGCACACGTGATCCAAGTTGGCCGTTACACTTTCTCCAATGGTAGCGCCACGGACCCTCGTATCTCCTAATAAGACCATGGCTGTGTCTGAAATCGCCCCCTATACCCTTAAATAGGGCACTATTTGAGGGGGCAGCCAGTTGTAGCGGTGTCCGAAACCACAGTGGACGTTATCGAGTGCACTCATTCAATCCCAGAATGCACCGCAATAACGAGTGTACAAGGCTGCGTTCCAGTCCAAAATTGCCATGCCCTTCACTCGCTAACTTCCCTCCGTCTCGTTCACTCGGATGTACGCCATTGCTTATGTTGCACGAGTGCCCACTACTGGCGGAAACTGCAATGGGCTGAACTGGAACGTCCTAAGCCCTTGATCACTTGGAATCAGCCATGGAGTTGATTTATAATTTAAACATTTTTTCCGTCTAAGAATTTGTTTAATGCAGCATCCAAATGTGTATAGGTGTGTTTGGGTTGTTTTAAATTGATTTATATATATATATATATATCTTAGAGTTGTTTGTTGTGGTTGTGATTAGACGAGATTTGTGGTGATGTCACAATCGTACTGCATTGTGGGAAATATAGGTGCTTGAAGTGTACATATGAAGTAGACTCGCTCCCTCGGTCTAAATCGAGGGAACGAGTGTCTGTCCATACAAACTTCCCTCGTCCACTTCGCGAAGTGGGACGCACTTCAAAATGGCGGCAGGGATTCCCCCGAGGGGAAGTGCTTAGGGAAGTTCGCAAGTGCATGTCTAAAAGTGGACTGGAACGCAGCCCAACTGATGTACGCTAAACGGCTATAGAGAATACCCATAATGCACTGAGGGTCATGCTGAATGAATTCCCAGAAGACGGCGCCTGCAGCCAACCAGGCCTCAGCCTTTTTATTAATCGTAAGCATTGGGCGGGAATTATGTAAACGAGGAATATTGTGACATGTTCCTTTGCAGAAGAAAACTCAAGACTTCAATGGAGCCGTTTTAGGGAGTTCACGGCGACAATGATAACTCCCTTTAGAGCAGTGTTTCTCAACCTCTCCTGCAGGGACCCCCTGACAGGCCATGTTTTTGTTTTAACTCTGAAATAGCACACCTGATTCAAGTAATTAAAGGCTTAATGAGTAATTAGAGTAGGAATAGTTCAATTAATCAATTAGTCAACTACTCAGTAAGCCTTTAATGACTTGAATCAGGTGTGCCATTTCAAGGTTAAAACAGAAACATGGCCTGTCAGGGGGTCCCTGCAGGAGAGGTTGAGAAACACTGCTTTAGAGGGACTTTGTAACATTGCAGATCTTTTTCATGCTCAAACAGCAACAACACACTAAAGAAAGTTGAAAATGTATAAAAAAGCTGAGATGAGTTGAGATGTTTCAGACCGTCCAAAACCTGTTGCGTCATCAAACATGTTCTGTCATATTCCTGCTCCATTCATTCCTACTGTCAAGTGTTGACAGTAGAATTGTGCATCTCTATTCTTAAGAATTGCATTGGCTATTTCGTCATTTTTCCTTAGGCGCTAAAATCCGCTGAAGACACACCTTAGCACTTAAAGGGCATATTGCAGGTTAGAGGACCCAACGAGTAAATGTATAGAAAAACAATGTAGTAATTAGATTTTCTTTAAAATATACTTATAAATACGTTACATTGGCTTCTGGAGTCGTTTTTGTGAGAGAATTTTACTTCCGCATCTGAAAATGGGCGTGACGGTCGTGACGTAACGGGCGGGAGAGCGGTCGATTCAAACCATTCAAACAACAGGAAAACAATGGATCGCAATGGCATTTCGGACTTACTCGTATGACAGACCACGGACGACAGCCTTACAATTATGAGCCTGCTATGCTGCTGAGAGAGCAGGGACAGGCCAGGATTAAATGTTAGACAGAACAACGGTCAGAGGAGACACACATTATTGCAAAAGTATTATTATAAAAAAACTTGTGTGGAGTGAGTGTGCGCAGCCGCAGTTTATTGCATCACTTAATCGCACGTATTTTTGATTAGCCTAGCTGTCAGATACTGAGTAAACATTAAAAGAACAGGCCTATTCAATCTTCCCTGGATGTTTTTTTAAGAAGAAATTAAATAATAGCAATCAGGAGAATGGAAGCAGCAATAAAAAAATGAGGACTGTAGTGCTGTCGGCAAAACATTATACCACTGCAATAAACACTGCACTGCAACAAAAAGGTAAGGCATATGTGTTTTTATATTTAATGCTGTTCACTGTGAGTTTTAATTAATAGTGTAATAGAGTTAACAGAGCATCGTTCATTCTGTTTGGTAAAATGAGGTGTATATCGATTATTACCATCGTATCAGTTAATAGCAAAGCTATTATTGGTCATCTAGGAGTATTAGATTTTACCATTATCAGAATAAACTATATAAGCTTTGATCAGGCGCGTATGTCATGCTCATTAATATCCGTCCAGACTAACGTTACGTAATATAACTTAGCTCATCGAGAGACACATAGATATTTTTATTCCTGATATACACGTTTTTGTTCCTCAGATCTGGTGTACGCTACACACGATCGCGTTTTTGGAAGCCGATGCGGAAGAGAAATCCTGTCTCTACAGCTGCACACACCGCACACAGGCACGATAGACAGCACCGTCCCTTTTCTTGTTAGGAAACCTGACTCGATGTCCTGACAGGCCGGAGTTTTTGCAACCTCCACAAACACAATAATTTACAATGATGACGATGATAAATTAAAATATAAAAACTACCGAAAACACTGATTCACGACCGCTCTTACTGACTTTTTTTTTAAATTCGATGCCACAAGAACAAGAGGTTTTACATATTCACAATATCACATTAACATTAGCTGCCAGGAATAAAAAAAAAAAAAAAAGTTTTACATAAAATCCTGTGCTTTCAAAGCATTACATGTTTTCATTGCTTTTTTGTTTTTAGTTTGTTTGTTCCAAAAGATGTACATATAATGTGAAGTCATTTATAAAACGTGAAAAAAGCCCAATCCTTTTTTGTACATGGTATTTTCCTAATGAAACAAATAACTGTATAATATGTTGTTCTTTACATTCCAAATTGTCATTCTGAGTATAAAAAAGCAAATTTACCCGCTCTACTGAATACAAACCTATCTGCGCTACTGAGGCTCCCTCCCTCTGGTGACGTAAAATGACGCGATGCTGAAAAAAAAAACGGGTTTTACGAGCAGTCGAAGAAACGCTCACTTTATCTACTAAATGTGTGCCCTTATGTCGTTTTAAAACATTTTAAATCCTGCATTACCTTTTCATATGGTATTTTCATACAAGGTTAGATATTAATTTAGATTTTTTTTTAACCTGCAATATGCTCTTTAACGAACGTGTTACCTTATATTATATTGCATTTAAAGCATCTACTGTGCTAATAATAATACTATGCTCGTAATTGTTTTTGTTGCTTCCTAGTAAACGCAGAACACAATGCAATGCAAACAAACCCTCTAACAACGTTGAGACAAAAAAATAATAATAATAATAAGTGCACAAAAAGTAGCCAGAGTTGGAAGGTCATCATTTCTGCATTGTTACAACAAGCAACGTGGCTTGCAATAGTAGGCTACAAACAGAACATGGCAGCAACTTTGCCACAACATAAACGTGTCTGTTAAATTGATACATTTTTCTAACTTTTGTTATACGTGTATTTAAAATGAAATGTAGCTATATTATAATAAAACAAATGACAACATGACGTCACTAAGTTTACAGTGCACCTTCTTGCAAACTTATAGCCTACCTACTACAGAATATTATGACATTAATACACTACATAATCTGAAATACAAGGGACTTTGCAATAACTTATCACAGTTACCATAGTTTCTGCAAAACTATAGGCTAGTTGAAAATGGAACAAGATATTACATAAATAGTTTGAATATCTAATTATTTCACTATAGTTTTACATTAAAACAACTGTAGTTTTGCTGCACCGGTGGTTACCATGGTAAGTTTATGCAATGGATTGAGTAATAAATTATTTTTTTTAGCCTTCAAAATTAATGACATACAAAAAATCACGTGCAAAACCGTCAAACTCACGTTCGAGCTTTATATTAGCCTATTTCAGTCCTGACTGAGGAACCACAAATCAGTAAGTTTCTGTCTGACTTACTTTACGCAACTTTCCCGTCTCGTCCACTTCCCTCATGAGAGACGGAATAAAGACCTCGATGACTGGAGACACACACTGATGATCCAACATCCCAAACACACACAGATCACAGACTGAACTGAAGATCAGCTTCGTGACGTGCTTTGATCAATCCGCCGTGGATCTCTCCAGAGTCCAGAGCTCCTCCTCCAAACACACACACACACACACACACACACGCACGCACAGCTGAGAGAAATAAAGCCATTCATACAGAAGGATATGCTTTTTGTGGTTAAAAAAGAAGACCTTAGCCTACGTAACAGTGTTAAAGACCTGATTAAATGTATACTAAATTAATTAATTAATTAATTCGCATTAAAGAAAAATACAATTACCAATACAACTCGGAGTCGGTAACCAACTGCCAGATGGTAATTTTTTTTTTTTTACATAAACCGAGGGATTCAAAAATATCAATGACATAATGTTGTCATCACTGGCCGCGTATGCATTTTTTGTCCAATCAAATGCTCTCTAAAATGAGAATGTCCCGCCCTCTAATATTGCCAGCGAATCACTAGTCAACACTGTGATGTAAGCTAATACCTATTCCCTATTAACAAATTAGTGTCTCACACATTTTTCACGTGTGTTTTAGAGTTAAAGGTAGAGTAGGCAAGCATTAGAAAGTTAGCGTGGAAAGCACAAGATCCCATCCTCCCTTCAGAGTGTCTCCAAAGCCACGCCTCCTCCGGAACACACGAACGCGCACAGCGTCATAAGACAAGAGACGGCGTTAAATTACCTCATGTCTCAAAGCACAGTACAATAATAATGTAAACAACTTACAGAGCTCTAACTTGTACCACCGGACTGCTACAGGTTCATGATAGTGTTGAACATCACGGGTTGCCATCTTGTAATTAGGGTTATGACATGTTGTGAACGCAGCATAAGCTCTTGTTTTGGTTCAGGAGGAACTGTTAAAGGCGACTGCTGTTTGTTTGTGGCACTTGGTCTGTCTCTGATGCGTCCCAATTCAGAGGCTGAATTTATTGGAATGCAATGATTGGATGAACATTTTTTGGTCATGATACTTCCACAAAAGATATGTAGGCCTACATGTTTTATCGAAGAAAAAATTGGTTTATGAAAAAATTGCCTATACCCTACCTTTGAACATTGTTTCTCTGGAGATTATACAATTATAAATTCTTCAGACATGTGTTTTCTAAAGATCTAGAGAGTTATTTTAGGATGTTTCTGGAACTTTTTTTGAGAGTTAAATATAAAGAGCCCAGTGTTTGTGTGTGTGTCGTCGGATCACAAGTCTGTCATGCGATTTCTCATGTATAAACACTTATCATTCTTAATAAACTCCGTAATAGACTTCGGAGAAGTTACATAAAAGGACAGTTGTGTATCTATTCAAACCAGAGTTCAAATACAAACTTGTCTACATTTATTTGTGCATTAAATTACGTCTAGGTACAGATGATATTGAGCGAGCATCATTTAAATAAAAGAATAAGTCTATTTTTGTATGGTCAAATGGTCAGCGGTGTGTCAGCAACAAACCTGATGTCCTCATTTCTTCTGTCTGAATGGAGAATAAATGAGAATCACATGATTTCCTGTGACAAACGACCATTCATGCATTTACTGCTGACTAAACACACTCCAGTCTGAAGATAACACACATTCCTGATGCTCAAGTGTTATTATCCCTGCTTTCCCACTTCATCCCATCAGGAGGTTAGAACTCAAGCTCAGTTTAATTCCAAACAGAACGACTGATCATGAACCCTGGACCATTTATGACCTTCAAATTGCTGGAAAATAAACAGGTTGAAAAGTTTAATGATTAATGAATTTAAAGGATTTTGGTGAAAGGTTAATTCCGCTGCAGCTGCAATAATTTTACCGCAGTAAACCTCAATGTTGTCACATGAAAATGTCTCATCGAAGCTGGAGAGAAACAAGCATTGACGATAAGAGTATTGAATGAGAGCTTCTGCTCAACACAGAACAAATACTAAAAGACGGAAGGCCTGGAAGGATCACTTCCTTCATTAGTCTGCCGTGTGGATGTGGATCTTTTGCCTCAAGGTTTCAGGTGGAGAGAAATTGTATTTTATCCCATCAGTTATAATTAGTGATGTTATTGTTAAATAAAAAAACTATTAAAATTATGTTCCTTAAATTAAATAAAGATGAAATAAAATATATTAGATAAAATTTTCTTACTAAAACAATTGTTTTGAGTAATAAAATGACTCAAACAGAAAAAAAACTAGCTAAATTTAAAAAACAAAAACTCACTAAAATGAAAAAAGAACATAAAATTACCAAAGCTTAAACTAAAATTAAATCTGAAAATAAAAAATAACTCAAATATTAAATAAAATAATATAAGCTAACAACCAGTTTGATCAGTTGATATTAAATTAAATTATAAAAAATAGCTATATAAATTGTGGTCCTGGTCAAGACAATCTCCTGAACTCCAAACTGAATGTCAGAATGGGAAAGAAAGGTGATTTAAGCAATTTTGAGCGTGGCATGGTTGTTGGTGCCAGACGGGCCGGTCTGAGTATTTCACAATCTGCTCAGTTACTGGGACTTTCACGCACAACCATTTCTAGGGTTTACAAAGAATGGTGTGAAAAGGGAAAAACATCCAGTATGCGGCAGTCCTGTGGGCGAAAATGCCTTGTTGATGCTAGAGGTCAGAGGAGAATGGACCGACTGATTCAAGCTGATAGAAGAGCAACTTTGACTGAAATAACCACTCGTTACAACCGAGGTATGCAGCAAAGCATTTGTGAAGCCACAACACGCACAACCTTGAGGCGGATGGGCTACAACAGCAGAAGACCCCACCGGGTACCACTCATCTCCACTACAAATAGGAAAAAGAGGCTACAATTTGCAAGAGCTCACCAAAATTGGACAGTTGAAGACTGGAAAAATGTTGCCTGGTCTGATGAGTCTCGATTTCTGTTGAGACATTCAGATGGTAGAGTCAGAATTTGGCGTAAACAGAATGAGAACATGGATCCATCATGCCTTACCACTGTGCAGGCTGGTGGTGGTGGTGTAATGGTGTGGGGGATGTTTTCTTGGCACACTTTAGGCCCCTTAGTGCCAATTGGGCATCGTTTAAATGCCACGGCCTACCTGAGCATTGTTTCTGACCATGTCCATCCCTTTATGGCCACCATGTACCCATCCTCTGATGGCTACTTCCAGCAGGATAATGCACCATGTCACAAAGCTCGAATCATTTCAAATTGGTTTCTTGAACATGACAATGAGTTCACTGTACTAAAATGGCGCCCACAGTCACCAGATCTCAACCCAATAGAGCATCTTTGGGATGTGGTGGAACGGGAGCTTCGTGCCCTGGATGTGCATCCCACAAATCTCCATCAACTGCAAGATGCTATCCTATCAATATGGGCCAACATTTCTAAAGAATGCTTTCAGCACCTTGTTGAATCAATGCCACGTAGAATTAAGGCAGTTCTGAAGGCGAAAGGGGGTCAAACACAGTATTAGTATGGTGTTCCTAATAATCCTTTAGGTGAGTGTATATACTGTATATCGACACAAAAATATATGCATATACACACAGACATGTATACATGCGCGCACACACAAAACAACTGACTACTAAATCAAAAGCTTCATATTTGTAATTAAATCTTTATTGTTTTCCTCAATAGAAGTGTCCACAGTGAAAAAAATACCTGCCCCTTTTTTTCTTATAAACAAACAGTTGATTTGTATGGCACCCAATGGTGAAGTCCAACTGCGTCTCTTCAAAGTGTTATTACAGAAGGGCCCAACATATCGTTTATGAAGCAAACTAATAAACAAACAACAAAAAATGTCTAATGTTATAAATGACGATGAATAACAGCCTTACAAACTCTGACAGCAGCAAAATCTGTATATAAAAAAAAAAATCTCATGTAGAAACAATTTAATCATTAGTAGTAGCGTAGCAAAAGTCTATTAATTATTTGACCATGTCAGAGTCAAATATGGTTCGACACGAAACGATAACATGTTGGCATAAATGTCTACACACGAAAATGTAAGATGAAGTAAATAAAGAGAAAAAAAAGAATGAAAATGAGAAAAACAGGCCCTAAATGAAGAAGAAAACCAGTTTTAAGACTGAAGTGCTTTGGGATTCTGGTTTGACCAGCTGAAAGAGCTCCGGTACTGATATACAGCGCTTTAGGAGCGTCTTTATAAATGCTTTACGTCAATTGAACAAATAGAAACAAGATCCTAAATCTATTGAAGATTTAAAATGATCCTTTGAGTGAAAACTATGAGCCAGCAAAAGAAAACTCACAGATCGAGTGTAAGTGTTAACATGTACAGTTCCTGTCATTTCCACCGGCCAGTTCACAATCCCCGGCCTATTTGATTTCAATAGTCCACCAAAAAAAAACTGCATTACAATCTCTTTTACTTGCTAAATACAATGTCATTATGGTGTTTTAAAGTGTATATACCAATATCCTGGACTTCTGAAATGATCTAGGTCACCATTTGTCTCTGAAATCCCTCCTTCAGAAGTACAAACATCTTTTGACAGGTGTCGCGTGGCCTGCTGGGAAGTTTCTCACTGTGAATGAGAGGAGAGCGCCCTCTAGTGTAAACCACTGACATCACTGCTGATGAGTAACGCGTCTGAGTGGAGAATGAACATGAAGTTTGGTTGCATACAGACGAGGAAGACACCCAGCCACCACCACATGCGTTTACATCCCCCAAAACAATAGTCAACGTAAGAAAATAAAGGTGAAGATTACACAGAAAATATACAAGTTACTAATTCAATGAGAGTAACGAGCGGCCGGATAGATGATTCCCTTTGCAGCACGATTTCTCTTGGTTTATAGGCAAGAGGTAAAGAGTGTAAAGGCCTCAGTCACGGGTGAGTGTGTGTGTGTGTGTGTGTGTGTGTGTGTGTGTGCGCGGACGCATCCTCATGCGATCGCTTTCGCCTCCGGCAAAAACGCCTCCCAGTATTTTATCAGCTAGAGGAGAGAAAGAGAGCCAAATGTGAAGTACAGGTATTCAGACAAATTTTTTTCAGTAAAAAAAACAAAAACAAAAAAGAAAGAGTTCTTGTACCTGTTGTTCTGAGTGCAGCAGTGACTCCAGATATTTGATGATTTGTCTCTTAAAATCTCGAGCTTTTTCTTTCTGTTAGCAGAGAAATTTAAATGAATTGTCAGTCAGAATCATTAAATACCATTCAACAATTAATTGAGGCGAGACCAACTGTAAATAAAATGTTTATTAGCAGTACTTAAAGTGCCGCTGTTATGCTATTTTATTTTGGAGATCTCCAACAACAGACCACATGCATCCACAGTCAAAAAACACTGTAATTTTCTCATAATATTTATTGCAGCATCAGCTCTCTTCTCAGGGTCTGAAACGCTTTGATAAAGGATTCAGTCTCTCTAAACCCCTCCTTTCTGAGAGTCTACTCTGCTCTGATTGGTCAGATGGCCCAGTCTGTTGTGATTGGTCTACTGTGCTCTGGTTGGTCAGATGGCCCAGTCTGTTGTGATTGGTCTACTCTGCTCTGATTGGTCAGATGACCCAGTCTGTTGCGATTGGTCTACTGTGCTCTGGTTGGTCAGATGGCCCAGTCTGTTGTGATTGGTCTACTGTGCTCTGATTGGCCAGATGGCCCAGTCTGTTGTGATTGGTCTACTGTGCTCTGGTTGGTCAGATGGCCCAGTCTGTTGTGATTGGTCTACTCTGCTCTGATTGGTCAGATGACCCAGTCTGTTGCTATTGGTCTACTGTGCTCTGGTTGGTCAGATGGCCCAGTCTGTTGTGATTGGTCTACTCTGCTCTGATTGGTCAGATGACCCAGTCTGTTGCGATTGGTCTACTCTGGTTGGTCAGATGACCCAGTCTGTTGTGATTGGTCTACTCTGCTCTGATTGGTCAGATGACCCAGTCTGTTGCGATTGGTCTACTCTGGTTGGTCAGATGACCCAGTCTGTTGTGATTGGTCTACTCTGCTCTGGTTGGTCAGATGGCCCAGTCTGTTGTGATTGGTCTACTGTGCTCTGGTTGGTCAGATGACCCAGTCTGTTGTGATTGGTCTACTCTGCTCTGGTTGGTCAGATGACCCAGTCTGTTGTGATTGGTCTACTGTGCTCTGGTTGGTCAGATGACCCAGTCTGTTGTGATTGGTCTACTGTGCTCTGGTTGGTCAGATGGCCCAGTCTGTTGTGATTGGTCTACTCTGCTCTGATTGGTCAGATGACCCAGTCTGTTGTGATTGGTCTACTGTGCTCTGATTGGCCAGATGGCCCAGTCTGTTGTGATTGGTCTACTGTGCTCTGGTTGGTCAGATGGCCCAGTCTGTTGTGATTGGTCTACTCTGCTCTGGTTGGTCAGATGACCCAGTCTGTTGTGATTGGTCTACTGTGCTCTGGTTGGTCAGATGGCCCAGTCTGTTGTGATTGGTCTACTCTGCTCTGATTGGTCAGATGACCCAGTCTGTTGTGATTGGTCTACTCTGCTCTGATTGGTCAGATGACCCAGTCTGTTGTGATTGGTCTACTGTGCTCTGATTGGTCAGATGGCCCAGTCTGTTGTGATTGGTCGACTGTTTACAGTACGTGTCAGAAACCAAACGCCCATCACCATATCTGAACTTCAGCTCTGGATCTTCCTCAACACTTGACACACAATGATACAAACAGTAACAATGGCTTCGGTTTTTTAGTACCGATTCGAGCTTGAGTCCTCAAGTGCAGCAGTGGTTTTGCTTTGGCAGCACAGAAAACAGCATCGTCTTGAACCAAACTTCCAGACTTCACTACAACTAAAGTGTTTGAGTGTCAAAGTAGACTTTGTTTGAGGGCAGCCATAGAAGACCATAGACTGGCATTGTGCAAATTTTTTCGAGCAGTTCAGAATCTATTTTTTTCTTTTAGAAGACAATCACTCAATTTATTGAGCACTTTGATCTTTGAAACTTTGCAGTCCATTATATTCACAAAGTGCTCTATTACAGACTACATTCAAGGCAATATCCAAAAAAGCATAACAGGGGCCCTTTAATGCCAAGATATCCAAAGCCAACAGGGAAATCATGTCTTACATCAAAGCGGATGACGTCTTTCTGTACGGTGGATGAGATTCTCTCGAATTCTCTCTCGAACTGCGTGACCTTTGCCTCCCACTGCAGGACGACAGTAGAGTAAGACATGACTTAGAAGGACGACAGTAGAGTAAGACATGACTTAGAAGGTTACAGATGTAAGTGTTCATCTGTTTAACATCAAACATCCCCCAAACAAGCAGCAGTGGTGTTGTGCCTCACCTCAGAGATCTCGTCCTTGGCCTGCTGGAGTTTGTCGGGTTTGTTGGCCCACAGGAGTTTGGCCTCGGCCTCTCTTTTTTTCTGCAGCATGTTCTCAGCGTCCTGCCAGCGCTGCCACGCTTTCATTCTCTGATCAAAACACCCCTGACAATGTAGAATACAAATAAATTATTATAATATTACATTAATGTTAATAATAATTCAAATTTATTTATATTTTATTATAGATTTAGGTGTTTTTTAGATTTAGATTTTTATTTTATTTACATTTTTTACATAATGATACATACTCTATGTAAACTACCAGTCAAACATTTGAAAAAAAAAATTCATGCTCACCAAGTTTGATGAAATTTGTTCATTGATTACTCAATTTGTTTGATTATTAATAATAATAAATGTTTCTTGAGCAGAAAATCAGCATATTTGAATGATTTCTGAAGGATCATGTGACACTGAAGACTGGAGTAATGATGCTGAAAATTCAGCTTTGATCACAGGAATAAATTACATTTTAAAATATATTCAAATAGAAAACAGTTATTTTAAATTGTAATATTTCACAATATTTCTGTGTTTTTGGATCAAATAAATGCAGCCTTGGTGAGTAGAAGAGACTTTTCAAAAACATTTAAAAAATTTAATTATTCCAAACTTTTGAACAGTAGTGTATCTACATTGTAAATGTAATTTATTATTATAATTTTTTTTAAATAATAATAATAATAATTCAAATAAAAATAACAATTATGTAGATACATACAGATATGCATCATGGTGCTGAAAAAATATATATATCAATAATTATAATAATGAATTCTGATACAATAATGATCCTGATACATACCTGTATGCATTTACATAATTGTTATTTTATTATTATTATTTATTATTAGTATAACAATAATTAAGATATAACATTAACATTGAATTATTATTCATTATTAATAATAATAAAATATATACAGATTTATATCACAATTCTAAAAATGTAAAAGTTTTATTTCTTTTTATTTTCAAATATATCTATAATACTAATATTAATATAACAAATTAATAATACATGTATTATTATTATTAACAACAACAACAACGATAATATATTGGATAATATGGTAAAAACAAAATGTAATTAAAAAATATTTTTAGTGCTATATATATAGTGAATGCAACCATATGGTAATGCTTATTTTTTGACAATCCAGTGAATTAAATAGGTTTACAAATGAAGGGTATAATTTTCTCTTTGCAAGTGGAACTGAAATATAAGATTACTTATAACAAATCAATCCGTGCCAGTTTAACATTATATAATACCTTTAAACATAGCAGAATTAAGTCATAATACACAATAAATCAACAGGACGAGTCTGATTTTTCTTCTATGTTTCTGTGTGTGTCTGTACCCTGACGGCTCCCAGCAGTCGTATATAATCGGCCAGCAGCTCAGAGAAGGTGAAGAAGTCGTTGGCCGCCTGGTCCTGATGGAGCTGCTCGATTCGATCTTCCACCTCGGCCAGCTGAGAAAGAGCTCGCGACAGAGCCGTGTTATCCTCCGAGCTGCCCAACATCGCCACGCTCTTCGCAAACACGGCTGTGTTCCCAGACAACTCTGAAACACACCCCACCCTTTAACTAGTTGCTCGTCCAATCAGATTCTGTTTCACTTAATATATGTCACATTACAGAAATAAAATGGGTTGCAATTCCCAAATCTAAATGCACTACATTAAAAAAAAAAGACCTTCTGACCTTTCCTGTGATTGACAAGCGATTCCACCATGACGTGAAGTTTCCGCAACTGCTGTTCTTCATTTTCTACATCCTGAATCTTCTCATCAAACCACTGAAACCAACAAGCACACACACCGTTTAATATTCAGTCTCCTCTCTAGGTTGGTTTTAAGCTTATTCCTCTTTATAGTAATATAGTATAATTGTTTTTCCACTCACCACGTCCTGTTCGTTCATCTTTATGGTCATCTTACTCACGGCCTCTGTGGCTTTGTTGAGCATTTTGAGGAAGCCGGCTCCACTCAGAGCCTGTGTGCCGACTGCTCTGGGTAACTAACACACACAGAGCATGTGAGCAATGGATAGATAAACATCTGCATGTGAGACGATCACTTCTCTTAGGTTTATGTTAATGTGGAGTTTGCGGTCGCATGCGTTGAATAATTAAAAATTTTGATTTTTATGCAAGAAGCTGTCTCACCTCTTCTTTCTCTAAAAACTCTCTGACATCAGGGTCCTGCAGGAGAGACGGGTGACTTACAATCCTCTGAAGATACCTGCAACCACACACAAACAATCCTCAATATCAATTACTGCTAACATTATATTTATTACATTATATTATCCGATCTAAATAATAATCAACAACATTACATTGGATCATATCATAAATTGGGATATAATAAAAATGTAATGTTATTATTAATTAATATATATACACTCATTAATTTTAATGAAGATGGAAAAATTACTTAGATTGGATCATATAATTTAATTTTAGTTGTAATTAATATTCATATACAATACTTAGATTTCTTGGATTAGAGGTGTAATTTTTCAGTCCTCATTAAAATATAATATGTACTACTAACATTAAATTACATTGCATTATCAAATTTAATAATGAATTATTTAATTGTATTTATTGTTTAATAAAGTATAATCTTATTAATATGAATTCCTACTAACATTATACTATATGACAATTTTATCCAATCGAAGTAATATTTCTGTCCTCATTAAAATGAAAATACATACAGTGTAATGATAATAGTGATTAATATTAAATTATCCAATTGAATACATTTTCTATCCCCATATATCATTTTAATTATGGCGAACATAACCATTATTCAGTTTAAGTAATTTTTCCTGTCCTCATTATTTAAATATATATTAATATTAATTACTACTGAGATTATTATATTTTCCAGTTTAAGTATTTTCTGTCCTCAGTTTTTATATATATATATAATATATATATATTTGTTATAATATATAACTATTATTATACTATCCAGTTTAAGTAATTTTTGTGTTCTCATTAAAATGAAAATAAATATAATGATAGTAGTAATTAATATTAATATTAACATTATATTATATTAATCAATCTAAGTAATTTTTCTGTCCACATTAAATTGAAAATACTGTATGGTAGCAGGCAGCATCACAGCCAATCATAGTTTGATGTTTTATACACAGATATATGGAGAGGGATTTTAAATCAATGAGAATTCACTGGGGGCGGGGCTTCTTAGTGCAATGTAACAAAAGGTTCTGACATGACACATTGATGACAAATGTGACTGGTCAGGACAAAAACTAGGAGAAGAAGAGCGATTCATCGCTTTACTAGTGCAACTAGTTAAGAAACATTGTCATCTTCAGTAACGAACCTCTCTAGAGCAGCTCTCCTCCGCTCCACAAACTCTGCTGACGATGGATCCTCCTTCCCGACTTTGACTTTTGTCATACCTGGAAAATTCACACACAGTTATTCATAATCAGACACTTGCCCATAACCAGATCAGATCGGATGCATTAGCAGAAGCAAGTTTCTACCCAGAATGCTCTTCTCCGGTGGTGGAGGTATGATGTATCCATTCTGCGTGTGTTTCTCCGAGAGCTTTTCGTACAATCCCAGGAAATCACTGAAACGTCTGCGTACAGTAAACGTCTTGCTACGGAACATGGTTAACGACGTCTGAGAGGAGGAAAAGAGGGAGGTTTAGACAGTGTGTCGTATTGTGCGGCCGTGTAATCTGCAATAAAGACTAAAAAAAAAAAATCACCTGTGTTGAAACTTTGTAGGCCATATAAGCATTCATACCATCACCTGTAAGAAGCAGAGAGAGAATCACCTCACATGCCCAAAATAAAACCCCAGCATATGTGCTGTTGACCTCAAGCTTAAACATCAGGACTGGTTACACAAAGGTCATTCAGGTTTAGAGTCAATGATCCCAGCTGAAAAATAGCTTGACTATCCTAAACTGGTCTCCCAGACTGGTCCGGTTTGCTGGTTTTAGAAGGGTTGTCAGCTTGTCAAACTAAACCAGTTTAAATATAAGTTTGTCCAGGTCACCAGCAAAAAACAGCAAACTAGAGTAAATCAACAAAATTAAAAAAATATTTTTACTATTGAAACTTTCACGATTTACATATTTAAATGACTTCGGTTATGATTAGCATGTAAAATGTGTTACGACGCCCTTGCAAAACTGCTCAATGGTCTAAAGGAGAGGATACATAAAAGTGGGAGGGATATGCTAATGTCTTTATCAAATTTCTGACCAACCTATGTTAGTTGAATGAATAAGGCATTTATATAGCGCTTTCATATGTACTACTGTACACCCAAAGAGCTTTACAATCATCAGGGGATCTCTCCTCAACCTAGTTATGCTGCTGGATCACAAATAACTAGATCATCTTTATAAATTCTCATTCAATGAAATTTAGAGCACATGAAAACAAGAGACAACAACCAACGAAATATTAATAACTGATTATGCTGTAGTCAATGTATGCTTTTAGCTTTTCTATGCATTTTGCATATTTTTGGAATAATAAAATAAACCTTTAGCTGTAGTTTGCTATCCTGGTTAAAACCAGACCATTCTCAGTTGTAACTGAGTTATGGTCTGGCAAAGCGTCATAGACAAATAATTTCCAGAGGGGCGTCACCAACGGACGTCGCGGATAGACCTAAACCCAATCAGAGCGATGAAGGAGATGACGTATGCAGAGCGGCGGAGAAACATCTCCGAGTGTTGTTCTTTGCTCGGTTTTTAACAAAAAGGAAACGTTCAAATCGCTTAAAACAGACGCGATAGCTGATTGGAACGAGTGATGTTCGACGGCGGCATCCATCTTTGTTATGTAGGCTACAAAATCTGCTTCAAAATCCCAGCGCTGTCGTCATCGTGTAAAGCCCGCCCCAACGTTTCTGATTGGTGCCTCGATTTCGGCGGATTGGAAATGGGCTTGAATGAGCTCTTTGCCAGACTAACTTTCAGAGCAAATCTAAATTTGCCGGAAGTTGTCTGGGTTTTCCCAGGCTAGTAGTTTGCCTCTTTTTTTGCCAAATAATTTTGTCAGATAAATACCTTAGTGTTTTTTCCCCTCCCTCATATTTAAAAATATTTGATAAATATAAAGTATTTTCCTCATATCCTGATGGTTTAATCTAAATTGTTGGGTCATTGAAAACAAATATTCCCTCTGGACATCACTTTTGGCCACTATATACAAAGTAAGAGTGAGCAAAACATCAGCAAAAATATGATATACTATATCAGATGAAATATTATCTCCCCAGAGACCTTACAGTAAACACCACACCTTTAAAAAAGAAGAAGGACAGGAAATGGAAAAAAAGCTGGTACAGTGCAAAAAAAGGAAGTTGTGATCGTATGGCAATGCTCCAGACTGTCGTATCTGTGACTCAGTTCCTTAATTAGAACAATTTCACCTCTTAAGATAATCACGGTTTTCTGTTTCCTGCAAACTCAGCCCACTACTTTTTCAAACTTATGTTAATCCACAAAAGCCTGAAACAAGACATCAAAAAGCTAAACCCAGCTAACATAGTGGAAGATGATGGTCTTACCAACTTTCTCTGGATTTGTGACAGAAATGTTTAGATCAAACTTGTCCTCACTTTCTTCTTCCTCCAGCTTTATGAGAAAAAAGAGAAAGGAAGAAGGAAACCTGTAAGGTTTGATCTGATCTCTAGTGACGGGAATCGCAAGAAATGCAACAAATCCAGTTTTGATTCTGATTCAACTTGATTCTTTAAGTAGATTTGAGTCATTTCATTTTCAAATGAAACGCACATAAATAAATAAATCATAAGTTTAAGACTGATTCTTGACTAATTAATCAAAAAGAATCAGCTCATAGGAGTCATTTGCTTGTGAATCAGGCACTAACGGAGCCAAACATCATGAAAAATATTCAATCTCAGTACTTTTTATTTTAAAAACTTTCAATTTCCAACCGTCTTTATAAGTGTTTTACCTCCTCCAGGGCTTTGGACGGAGGTTTGCTGGAGCTGCTGGCTACCGGGGCGGCAGGAGCCGATGCTGGCGCTTTCACCGCATCTTTCTTCTTGCGGTCATTAAGAGGACTGTCCAGAGACAACTCCACTGTAGCTTCTGGGAAAAACAGTGAGAGAAAGTGCATTTTATGGATTCAATAAAACTAAAAAGATACAACAAATACAACCTAGATAACAAACACACACACATGCAAAACACATTCCATCAGCAACATAAAGACGGGTGAGAGGTCAAAGGTCACTGAGGAATTCCTTTTCCCCTTCCTGAGTCAACGCTGAGAAAGCGAATTCATCATCCATCACTCAGAGAAGTGATGTGCACGCATTTCTGCTTGTACAATACATGCCAGTAAAAAAAAAAAAAGCAGGAAAATGTTTCATTAGGCAAAAAACTAAGCCTGGAAAACCCTACAGCACTTTAGGCGACTTCTAATCAGTGTTATTTAAGTATTATTTATATACTATTATTAGAGGAGCATTTTATATTTTCAGTTTTTATTTTAATTGTGGTTTGAGTTTGATTATTTTACTTGAGCATCTACGATCTAGGAAGGCAGTTCATTCGCTTGATGCCTATGATAGCCAAAAAAATACTTTCAAGGTAGGCGGCTCGTAAGGTTTCGAAACACAAGTCGAACTTTTAAATGCACCAATGACACCAAACCAAAGTCTAGGTAGGCCACTCACAAGGTTTCCAAAAAATGACCTAAACATTCAAAGATGCTTTTCACATGTGGGAGGACAGCTACATTTTGAAACACAAATTAAACTTGCTTAAACATGCCCCAAAATGCTCTCAAGGTTTAAAGGCTCAAAAATGTTGTCTAGATAGGCAGCTCACTAGGTTTTGAAGATTAGAACAATACATTTGTGTTATAAGATGTCAAAAAACGCTGTATGTTACTAAATTGCTTATGCAGTACTTACCCCCAGTTTTGCAGACTAAGCTAGTCCCAGACTAAAATGCTTGTTTGAACCGTTTTAACTGAAAGCAACTTGGACTGAAATATCTTAAAATATGTCAGTGCCATTGTTTTGTCTCTTGATGTCTCTAGATGCACACTAGTAAGGCACATTTATAAAAGCTACTTAGCTAATTGAACTAAGGCCTAATCCTGGCTTGAAACCAGGCGTTAGTATTGAAAGATGAACTTTTACATTTGCCTATGATGCCTGAAAAAGCTCCCTGAAATTAAATTATATACAAAAAAACACTGTCTATGTTGGCAGTTCGGAGGATTTTGCAACACAAATCAAACTTTTAAATGCACCAATGTCACCCGGAAATACTGTCTAGGTAGGCTGCTCACTCGATTCTGAAACATGAACCAAGCATTTAAAAGGGCTTATGATGCTTAAAAATGTTGTCTGTCTGACAAGGTAGCCAAGTTTTGAAAAACAAACTAAACTTGCTTACAAATATTAAAAAATGCTGTCAATGTAGGCACCTTTTAAAGTTCAGAGCAATACATTTTTGTGGTATGATGGCCAAAAACCCTGTGCTACAAGGGTTTTCGCAGGAAGAACTATTTTTGGTTCTCCAAAAAACCTTTCATTAAAGGTTTTAGTTTGAACATTTTGATCATCTAAAGAAGCTTTTTTCACTATAAAGAATCTTTTGTGGAATGTAAAGGTTCCACGGATGTTAAAGGGGCTATGTGTAGGTTTTTACTTAAAAAAATCTTTAAGATAGAGTCTTCATTTGTACATTTATGAGCCAACCATAATGTAATAGAAAGAATGACACCTTGACTGTCCACCACGGTTGCCTCCATCAGCCTGTAGGCTAAATTTGTGTGTGGAGGAGTCGGGTCCGAATTGGCGTGAAAATTCACGAAATGTGACGTCATGCGCGTTCTCGTCTACTTGGGCTTACATCCGTACGGCAGCCATTAGTAAGCAGCGGCGATCGCTAGCAGTAGTGTTTCAAATGGACTCTGCGGACGGAAAGAAGCGACCAGCCTCCAGCACAATCCAGATACCCATGGAAACTCCTCGTAAGTAAAAAAGAAAAGAAAAAAAAAGCCTTATCTAGTGCGGCCAACGAGCGTGCGCACCGAGAACGAGCATGAGACTGGCTACAGTTTCTCTAACGGCCACTGGTGTCAGTAACGGTAAGAAATTTCAGAACTTCCGCAATGCTCCTTTAAAGGGGTCATATAATGGAACATGCACTTTTACAAGTTGATTGTACTGAAATGTGTGTTGGCAGTGTCTGTACACAACCATCATATAATGATAAAAATCCATCCAGTGGTTTTGTTTTAATCTCCTTATATGTTTTCCCCTGCCTCAAATCGAGCCGTTCGAGCCTGTGACGTCACACGGTCGGACGCCCCTCCCACGATAGTTGAATGACAGCCGGGTTTCAACACAGACCCGCCCCCGCTCGTGAGCCAGCTGTCAATCATAGTCTGCGCGGACCGGCGCGGTCATTGTTGATATGCTGGAGCACTGTCTATGAGCAGAATGGCGTCTAAGCGATTGTGGTGTTCTGTTCTTGGGTGTAATAACGAACACAGCAGTCATTTTAATGTTCCTAAATCCGAACCGCTGAAGACGCAGTGGCTGAGTTTGTTTTCGAAGGGAATATTCCCCACGAGCAACGTCAATGCTCTCATGTGCGAATCATTTCACACACCAGACTGCTTTATAAATGAGGATCAGTATAAAGCTGGATTTGCTAAGAAGCTGCTCCTGAAAAAAGATCGGTACCAGATATTCGTGTTCCTGCTGAATCTCCAGAAGAACTGAAGTGAGAGTAAGGTTTTATTAAACTTTATATTAATATGTATATTAATCCTTGTAAATCGCTAGCTGCACGCTTCACGATGAATGCGTCTAAGGTTTACACTTAGGGTACATTACGGCATGTTTTCTATATATGACGTTCTCAATATAATGCATAATCCCACGTTTATACTGAACAACGTGTTATGGTGATTGTGTTACAAACGGTGTACGCCAGAGCTCTGGTGTACACAGAACAGAGAGGCGGGGTGAGCAAAGCTCATGATCATTTAAAGTCATATGCACTGAAACGGCGTGCTGAAAACAGAGCTGTTTTTGACCAGGTAAAATAAGTGTTTTCTTACAATACTAATGAGAATTTTTAATTAAAGTATATTACAAACTTTTAATTTAGACCCTAAAGAATCATATTAGCTTGTACAAAAATGGCATTATATGACCCCTTTAAAGGTTCTTCATGGAACCATCGATGCCAATAAAGACCCATTATTTATACGAGTGTATAATGCTCAAAATGCTGTCTAGGCAAGTAGCTCACTACGCTTTGAAGATTTGAACAATCAATTTGTGTTATGATGCCCAAAAATGCTGCCTGTGTCTAGGTTGCTTAGGCAGTTCACAAACTTTCAAATGTGCCTGATGCCCAAAAAACAGGTGTAGCTAGGCAGTCAAAAGTGTCACAGTCATGATCTGGTGTTACCGGTGAAATGTCGTACCTGAGAAGATATCCTGCTCCTCAGAGTGAACCCCATTGGTCCTGGAGCTGCCGCTTGAGGAAGGTTTGGTGGCAGGTGCCGTCACGGCTTCCTCTGCGAACAGATCCGTGGGGTCCTTTTTAACATGTGGCTTGACCTTCACTTCTGATTTCACCTCTGTAAAGACATTGATAGGTGGCCCACTCGCCACTGAAGGCTGAGGGGTCTTCGTCATGGCTTTTAATGGCTCTTTAAAAAGATCTTCCTCCTCCTCCTCATCATCATCCTCATCCTCATCACCGAACAGCTCAGCGCTCCCTGCTTTCTTGGTGTCAGAGCCTTTGCTGCTGCCCTTCGGAGGGTCTTCGAAAATATCCTGATGTCGGGCTCCAATGGCGTTTTTGTGCTCAGGCTTGCTGCTGATATCAATAGGTGCTTTACCGATGACATCAGACTTTGGCGTTTCTACAGGCGCTTTCAAGAGATCTGGCACGGGATTTTGGACTTCAGGCGAACTAATCACATCGGCTTCATCGTCCAGCGGGTCGCTGAACAGGTCGACGGCCTCATCGCTGCCAGGAGATTGTATCTTTAGGTTCTTCTGGGGTTCAGAGTTAATGTCGCTAAGAGGATCGCTGAAGATATCTTCTGGTGGCTCGTTGAAGATGTCTTTAGGAGGTCCGGTCGTGTCAGGCGACAGTGAATCCATCTCGGAGATTGACTAGGAACAGCACAGAAATGATTATTCAGCTAATGTTGTAAATTTAGTTACTATAAATAGAAATATTGTGAGTTTAAACAGGATTACTAGTTTTCCATCTGGCATGGAACTGTTTTTACAAATACATGAAACATTTTCAGGCTGAATCTCACAAAATTTGCTTAAAAATTACCCACATCCGAATGATATCTAACAGGCACAGGATCAAAACGAAAGTTATGAAAATAAATGAGGAAAATCCACAGATTGTTTAACTCTTTCCTTTATTTGCAAAATATAACAGCGACTTTTTAGATTTGGGTCCGAATAAAGGAAAGAGTTAAACAGTGTTTGGATTTTCCTCGTTTATTTTCATATCTCTGGTTAAAGTTCAACCCTAAATAAAGAAAAAAATCTATTTTAAGTATTATTTTTGCATTGAAAAATTAGGCATATTTTGTTAAGCATAAGTTCTTGTAACCGTAATTAGGCTATACAATATTTTTCATATTAATAATATTTATTAGTTTATGTATTTGTGCATTTTGGTGATTTAAATAAATAAATAAAGTAAGCCTATTTTGGGCTTAGCACATTTTCCACCCAAATACTTATTATTGTAACAGTCATTTTATACTTAAAGGCAGAGTAGGTGATTTGCTTCAAAAACATGTTTTGTTATGCTGGTTGAAAGTCTCTTCACATCCTAATAGCAATCACTAAGTGGTCTAAATGTATTTATGTGGAAATATACTGTCTGTGGAAGGCGTAGTAGGACCATAAAAACAACTCATAGAACTCGTGCCGAGGGCTACGATAGGATGTCCTAACATCTACGTATGTTTTTACACACCCTGCTCGCGCAGACATCGCACATCATCAGTGCGTTTCATGCTCTGCAGAGTTAGACAGATGTCAGTCACAGAACACAGTAAACGAAACAGCGGCCGTAGTTCCTCCTGAACCAAAACAATGAGCTTATGCTGCGTTCACGCCACAACTACTGCAATTTGGAGGAGATGGAAATCCGTGACGTTACACTCGGAGCGGTTCGTGACTCGAATTTACACGTTTCAATGGCAACACTATCAACGCCACTATCAACGCCGCTATGAATCTGCAGCAGTCAGGTGATACAGCTCAGAGCTCTTTCATTATTTGATTTGATTTGATTTACTTTAATCCACAGGGGGAAATTTATGTGTCACAACAGCATAGAAATACAATGAATAAATAAACAACAACAAACAACATACACAACATACAACAGCAACAAGTCTTGTTCTCAAGTATCAATTTTTCAAAGCACCATGATTATATACGACCAGAATAAATACATAAATATATATATATATCATCTCACATAACACTGATTATAAAATCTAATTGCGGTTGGGAAAAAAGACTTTCTAAAACGCTCTTTGTAGCAGCGTGGATGAATTAATCTTGAGCTGTAGGTACTCACAAAAGCTCGAGATATTTCATTAAGAGGATGACAGTCATGATTGATCATAAGAGAAAGTTTCCCAATCATTCTATCCTGCACTATCTCCTCTAAAGTGGGTAATACACTCCCCACGACAGAGCCTGCCTTCTTTATGAGTTTATTTAACTTATTCTTCTCCTTTTCCATCAGTCCCCCTCCCCAACATGTGATAGAGTACAAAATCACAGATGAGACTACAGAGTCATAGAATGTCTTAAGTAGTACCTGACGTACCCCAAAGGATCTCAGACGTTATTATTGTAATATTATGTGCTGTGAGACATGAGGTAATTTAACGCCGTCTTTCGTGACGCTTTTGTTTGCTCCCTGCTGTACGCGTTCATGTGTTTTTTTGAAGGAGGCGTGGCTTTGGAGACGCTCTGAAGGGAGGGTGGGATCTTATGCTTTTAAAGCGAACTCTGAAAATCGCCTACTTTACCTTTAAATTGTAAAATATTTATTATATTATATTACAAGTATTTGTGAATTGCAAGCAAGCCTATTTTAGTACTTTCTTTGCATTGAAAATTAAAGCACATTTTCCACCCGAATACTTATAATTGTAACAGTACTTACATAATTAAAATGTAAAATATTGTTATTACAGGTATTTGTCATTATTCTTTTTTGATTGCTTGTACAACTGGCATTTTACAATAACTAAATAACAAAATAAGCCTAGCGTATTTTAGTACTATCTTTGCATTGAAAATGAAGCAATTTTTTTTCACCCAAATTCTCATTATTGTAACAGTAAATATTTAAATGGTAAAATATTCATCATGCTAGACTTTGTTATTTTTATATACGTGAGCATTTGTACAATTGATGGTTTCAAATGAATAAATATATAACATTGATTCCAGACAGGATGGTTCGAATAAACATTACATAAAATGTAATCACGAAAAATTTCTTAAATGGTCCTGAAACTGACTACTTTTTGATTATGTTAAAGAAAAATGAAATTTTATATCTTTTGATTTTGGGGTAAAGTATTTAATATATATTAAAGACCTGCACATTTTTCTCATGAGATAGTAAGTACTGTAGTAGTCATTTTGCAGTCACTTTCATCCAAAGCGACTTCTAGCACCCTTACAGGGACAATCCGCCTGTATTAACCCAGGGTTAAGTGCCTTGCTTAACGGTACAGTGGTTACAACATACGAATCAACCCATGCTGGGTTCAAACCTACAACCTTCCAGTTCCAGTGCAGACCTTTAACCACCAACCCACTCCTTCATGACTCACGTACAGCAACTGTAAATTCTTTCCCACAAAGCAAATTCTTCAGAAAATAAATGCTTACTAAGGTAAAAAAAAGGCATTTAGACATTCACTCAAGTTTGAGACTCACATGACCAGACCTTCAGTACTTTGACCTGAAAAGACTTAAATTACTACGCTAAGTAAACATTGACTGCTGGACACCAGCTCATTTATTAGAGACAGATTTGCCTTCATAACACTCATCATACTGTAGTTTGGATCTCTTCCTTGGTCTGCATGCATATATGTATATTTTAAATAGCCTACATAAAACATCTTTACTAGGATAATGTTGGGTGGTTCTGCATAAAGAAGTTCATCTACTTTCACGCTTCCTTTATAATTAGACACAACATAACATTAATTTTACACACTTACACAATCTCTTACAGAGTGACTTCAGTCTGTTTGGAAAACTGGGTCAACATTCCTCGTGATATTATTTATTCAACAACAAGAGTCCTCCAAAAACTTCAGTATGTCACATGCAGGCCTAAACTTAGATCTATTTAACCCTGCGGAAGAATCAAATCTGAGGTGGTGATAAAAATGATACCTTTATTAAATCATTAAGCAAATATGACCACAGAAAACGCCGTATAAACCAGCAGATCTGAAGATCCACGGTTGAAGAAGAAGAAGAAGAAGAGCAGGGAGATCTGAGGGTGTCCGAGAAGTGAAAGTGGTCGGTCTTCTTCTCTTTCTGTCTGTCTGTATGAAGTCTCTAGCTAATTAGCTTCATAAATGCGTTTAATTGTGTTACTCACCGTGCCCGTGAACGCATCCGCGCCGTCGTCACTGTCCTCCAGCAGCTCGGGCTCCTCTGAGTCCGGGAAAGGAGGAGGACTGCGCTCCGAGCTGGCCGCCATCTTCAGCTCCACACACGGAAAAACTTTATTACAAGCGGAGAACGCTAGAGTGAAAACGAGAGAGCGACATTGAACTGATACGAAGAGAGAGAGAGATAGCGAAACAGCGACGCCCGGTGGTCAATAGTGGCGGGCTTTGCGCTGTTACGTCACGCTCACAAGACCACTCCCAAAGTAATGATTTTTTTTTTTCAAATATATACACTAGTTTATAATGTAAAAATTAAAATAACGTTAGAGTCCCGCCGTTATGGAGCTACATAATTGTACATGAAAAAAACGTGAAAAATAAATAAAATTGAGGAAGTGAGTGTGTAGAGGGGCGAGCCTTGCTGTGACGTTGACACAAGCCACGCCCACCAATGCGTTTGTTTACAGAAGTACAGAGTGAACTGAATCTTTTGCCCAACGATCATGTAGTTTACACTCATAAATACTTTAATCTGAAATGTTATTATGCCTCGACGGGCTCATGGAGATACAGAACCCCTGCTATCGTCCACTCATTTGGACGAAGACGGTAAAATGCATTATTAATCATGTAGAATGTGTTTATTATTACTGGATCTCTAGTGGTTGATATCCCGGTGGATTGTAGATGAGTATAATGTTGACTCAAACACTTTTCACAAGTCATAGACTATTAATTGTTAAATCTGGATCCAGCATGAGGGGTTTTTACGATATACTGCAAAAAAAAAAAAAGAGTCGCTGTTTGGATTTAAAGAGGCAAATGCTCAAGAGTCTATGGTTGGTTGGGTTATCATTAGGGATGTAACGATTCACTCATCTCACGATGCGATACGATTCACGATACTGGTTTCACGATACGATTTTCTCACGATTTTTTTAACAAATGAGATTTAAGACAAAAGTGTCCCCTTTTATTATTTCTCAGACAAAATGCTGCACATTTCTTTTTCATTTTAAATATATTTGTCAAATAATAAAACTACATTAAAAAAATTCCCTTCAAGGTTGTTTCAACTCAGTCTTACTGTCTGTTTGGTCAAGAGGCTGGACACTGGTACCTTCGCACACTATGTAAAAGACTGTGTAAAATTAGTACCAGATTGACAGGGGTTTTACATTGTAATAAAGGCAAGATTATAATTTTGTTATTATTTGTATCATTACACTAGAAAGAGTTTTAAAAAAACACATTTAGAGAAAGAGATAGTAAAATAAATACAACACCTGGTTGCCACGGAAACACTGATGCACCTTGTGATCTCCGTGACTCTCGCAATTGTCGTATTAATGACTTTTACATGAAAACGGAGGTGACTGGTGCTTCTCACGGTGGTGATTATTATTAGTCTACGGAAAGTCAAAATGCCGCCACACCTCCGATTTGAATGAGTCAACGTCAACATCTACGCTTGCCGTCGCCATGTCTACTGTTTGACGGCGCGTGCACACCAGTCTATGCGCGAGCGGAGCAAACCGAGCGTTTTCAGTTCATTCCTATGGAAGTTGAGCTTGGCTCACACAAGATCAAGTTCCATGAATGAAGTGAAAACACTCGCTAGCTTCACGCCAGTGTGTGCTCGCTGCTATTGTGCCTGTAAAGCTAGGTTCACAACTTCACAGTAGGCTATACAGTAAACGCGCCCTGCTGTTTAAAACGTGTATCGCGATTCGTTTAACATTTCAGCCGACTTGAATCGTCACACATTTTTATCGATTTTCAACCGGTTGCGAGTGAATCGTTACATCCCTAGTTATCATTATTGCAGTGATTATTATGTTTCTAGCATGTTATATGTTTGGCAACAGTTCTTCTAACCCTAAATGATGGAGTGTGTAGCTTTTAATTTCTTAAACAACCATGTAGGAAGACACAACATGATATTCCAGGATGACAATGTCAAGATTCATCAGACTCGCACTGTGAAAGAATGGTTGTGAGGAGCTTGAAGAATCATTTTCACATTTTCTCGAGTTCAGATCTTAAATTCACTGCAAGTCTTTGGGATGTGCTGGAGGAGACTTTACAGAGCGCTGGACTCTTGCATTGTCAATACAAGATCTTGACCAAAAATCGATGCACCTCTTGATGGAAATACATGTTGTGATGTTTTCTGATATATGATGTGTCCATCATCAGATGACCAGGTGTCCAGTAGAAAGAAACTGTCTTATGAGGAGGCTGTTGAGAAAGCAGGTTAATTTTACCTTTATGTTTTTAATGTGCTGAATAGTTTTTCCTACATTTAGTTTCATATGTTTGTCCACATGCAGTGGTCATCGGTCCTCATGTTTCTGTCTGTCCGCAGGGTTCGGACTCTTCCATTGGCTGCTGTTGGTCGTCTGCGGGTGGGCGAACTCCAGTGATGCGGTGGAGATCCTGTGTGTGTCGTTCCTCTTGCCCACGGCACGCTGCGACCTCCAGCTCAGCTCAGGCGACATGGGGCTCCTCACTGCCAGCATATTCCTGGGTTATCATCAGTCTTTTTGTGTTTTGTTTTCTAACCAAACTGTTAAAAAGAATCAGTAATGATCATGTTGCATTTCAAGAAGAGAAACTGGTTTCTTAAACAGCAGGACAAACAAGGAAAATGAAACATTAGCTACTCATTTTTATCATGTAAACTGTTAAGTCAGGTCAGAAATGCAGTTTGTTCTCTATTTGGTTGAACTTTGAATTGTATTTGCCTTATCATGTGTCTGAAAACTGCAGAGTCATGCTCATTGTTTTCAGGGAGAGTTTTAACAAGAAATGCATAACTGCCCGAGTCATCTGATCATGTCTCATGCTGCTCAGTCAGATAACTAGCGTCTCCTCTGACAGGGATGATGGTGGGCGGTTATGTTTGGGGGTATCTGGCTGATCGCAGAGGAAGGCGGAGTGTTCTGGTCATTTCTCTGGCAGTGAATGGCACGTTTGGGGCAGTGGCCAGTTTGGCCCCGAGTTTCTGGCTCTTTCTCCTCCTGCGGTTCTTCAGTGGAGTCGGGTAACCACATCCCAAAAGAGTTTTTACATGCAGTTTCAAGGTTTAGATCGATATTACACAGACAGAATCTTTACTAGTATCACATGAATGCATCTGTGTCTCGCTCTCAGGGTCGGCGGGTCCATTCCTGTCATCTTCTCATATTTTTCTGAGTTTCAACCATGTTTGAGGAGGGGAGCTATGATCAGCGCTCTCGCCACATTCTGGATGGCGGGAAATATTTTGGCAGCAGGTAAAACCATTATCCTCTGAGCTGAGAGAGGAGTGCCTCTAAAATACTGTCTGGAAGGTTGTACTAATCTTTTTCTTTCCATTTTTTGTTGTTGTTGTTATATTGAAACATGAGCAGTAAAGAACACAATCAGAACATCTATAACTTTAACCAAAAATAAATAAATAAATGAATAAATAAAACTGCAAAGGTTATATAAATAAACAATAAAAACATGACAAAAGACAAAATACATGTAAAATAAATATAATATAAAACAATATAATATAAAAAATATATAAAACAAAATACAACCAAAAATGTATAAATACAAAAAAAACAAAGAAAGTGTATATATACATATATATATATATATATATATATATAAATATATCCTTTATAGAATGCATAAAGACTAAATTACATAACCAAAATGAATATATGAAAATTAAAAATATATGTAAATAAATATAAAAAAAATTCTTTATGTAAAATAAAAACGCATTAAGACATAACTTTATGCCAAGACATAACCAAAAACTTATAAATGCATACATAAAAATACAAGATATATAAATAGACTTATAATGAAAAGAATATTTTCTATAAAAAATAAGAATGAGACGAAAATACATAACCAAAGATATATAAATGAATAAATATATATATATATATATATATATATACTGTATAACACAAAATAAAGTTAGTGCTGTCTAATCGATTAATCTTAATAATTATAATATTTATATATATATATATACATACATACATGTCCATAAATATATTATTACACACACACACACACATATATAGGGCTGTCAAACGATTAATCGCGATTAATCGCATCCAAAATAAAAGTTTGTGTTTACATAATACGTATATGTGTGTGTACTGTGTATTATTATTTTTAATACATAAATACCCACACATGCATGTATATTTAAGAAATATTTGCCTGTATATAGACTGAATGTAGCCTATATATAATGTATATTTTATATATAAACATTTTATATATAAATAACATATTTTTCTTAAATATATACATGTGTGCATTTATATACAAAATAATTATACTCAGTACACACATATATTATGTAAACACAAACTTTTATTTTGGATGCGATTAATCGTTTGACAGCCCTAATATATATATATATATACATACACCATTGCTATGTGCACAGAACATTCACACATAAATATTTATTTGAATAGGTATTTTGTGTGTTTTTGTCCAGGTGTGGCGTGGATGGTGATTCCCAGAACATCTTTGAACGCTCATTGGGGCTGGTTGGATTTTCAGAGTTGGCGTCTGTTTGTGGTCCTCTGCTCCGTCCCCAGCCTGTCATCAGCACTTATCTTCAGACTGTTCATGCCGGAGAGCCCGAAGTTCCTCATGGAGGTACGCACTGACTCAACTTTCAACGAATAGGTCGTAAATTCTAGAACTTCATGTATCTGAACAAGTTACATTGGGTCTGTTACCGGACGAATGTTTGTCAGGTTTAGTGGGACTATTTCATTAGGTGTTTCTTTTCCACAGGCCGGACGTGAGGCGGAGGCTTTATCTGTGTTCCAGAAGATGTTCAAACTGAACAACAGACATGCCACAAAACCGTTTCCTGTGCGTAAATCACAGATGTTTGATGAGTTCTGGGCCAAACCTTCCCACTGTTCTGTTCATGTAGGAAACTGTATTATTTAGATGATCAGTTGATGAAAATGAGTTTGTGTTAACAGGCACTAGGTCTTGTGATCAGACCCCAAGATGATGAAGAGAAGAACAGACCCAGTAGCGGCTCAAGATGTCAGCGGTTTAGCCATCAACTCAAACAGGTTCGGATCACATTTGATATGTTATCAAAACATTTTCTTAGAAAGTATTAAAGCCTCACTGAGGTCCTGATGGTGTCGCTGCTTCTTCTACAGGCACTGGACCCCATCAAACAGCTGTTTGTTGGACCGCTGGCTTCCAGAAGTGTCGTTTTGCTGATTATATTTTTCTGCATTTCATTTGGGTAAAACCTATCAATATTCTGCTATTTTAAGGTTTATTATTGTCTCTAAAGCCCACTTATTATATTAGTCAAGGTTTTTGACACCAAACAAAGTCATGATTTAGTTTGGCACGGCCATTTCCCGGTCTCTCTGACCTTTAGAATTAAAAAGGCTGTATTTTGCTACTATTATATCATGACTTTAATATGTTTTATATAAATATATATATATATGTACTTATTTGTATAGCGCTTTTCACAACACAGCTTCAAAACAGCTTTACTGAAAATCATGACATTGATGTTTATAATATGTTAATATCTTCACGCCCTATAGTCACATTTAGCAGATTAGAGCTGGACGTTAATATATTTACATTTTGCGACAATACAAGCAATCAAGCTGTTGAGATTTGCTATATAGTGTATATACCCCCCTTTAGCAAGTATACTGTGTTTATGCAGTTAAGGTTGGAGATACTTACTGTATATATCTAAAGAGCTGATAATATATATGTATTGCTTTACGTGAGAATACTATATATATGCAAATATATATATATATATATATATGTAGAGACGGTAACACTGCTGACATGTTTGCGACGATATTAGCAATCGAGCAGATGAGATTTGGTATATAAAATATGTTGCTTTATTGTGTACTGTGTGTATGCAGGTAAAGTAGGATATACTATATATCTCTCCTCTGTTGTGATTGGCTAACCTCCACACAGGCTGTTTTTGCTACTGTACCTTTAAGATTTCTAGTTGTGATTAGCTAACTACATTTAAGATTACAAATTAGTTTGAAAAAAACCCTCTCTGTGCAGGTATTATGGATTATGGATGTGGTTTCCGGAGCTTTTTAAGAGAGCCGAGGACGGAGGGTCTCCATGCACCAACACGTCTCGAGTCCAAAGCTCAGAGAATGAAAGCTGCTATCCAGTCAAAACTGCAGGTTAGTGTTACTAAAACCAGACCAAATGAGACTGATCATTATTTTTCTCTTTTGTTGTCATGACCAAGTATTTTTATAATGGCTTTGTGTCTTTTGCAGTATACATGGAGGGTTTTATAACTGCGGCTTCAAACTTGCCGGGAAACATCTTCACTATCCTTCTCATGGACAGAATTGGCGGGAAAATTCTGCTGTGTAAGTACAGCAAGTTATCTTACAATGACTGAATGGCACAGATTGTTATGGCAGGTTAATATACCTCATCACCACATTAATTATTGCAAAACATTAAAGAACTAACAAAGCGCACTATAAAAGTCCATCTATAATAATGATTTTTTTCTGTCCGGTAGCCGTCAGTTTGCTGGCGTCCAGCGTGAGTGTGTTTGTCATCTACATGGTGAAAACCAAAACTCAGAGTCTGATCGTGTCCTGCGTGTTCAGTGGCGTTTCTGTCATCTCCTGGAACGCCCTGGACGTGGTCGGGACGGAACTTTACCCCACACAACTACGGTAAATCCCAATATTCATTTGTAATCTTGCTACTGATTTCACATGCAAAGAGGTCAGACAATCATAATGTCAAAAGTTTGGAGTAATGAAGCTTTTTTAAATCTTTTTTTTTCACCAAGGTTTTGCATTTATTTGATTAAAAATACAGTAAAATATTGTGAAAAATGATTACAATTTTTTTTTTTTTTAACTGTAAAAATTCCTGCGATGCAAAGCTGAAATACTTGAGTGTCACATGATCCTTCAGAAATGTTTTTTTGAGCAGCAAATCAGCATATTAGAATGATTTCTAAAGGATCATGTGACACTGAAGACTGGACTAATGATGCTGAAAATCCAGCTTTGATCACAGGAATAAATTACTTTTTATAATGTATTAAAATAGAAAACAGTTCTTTTAAATTGTAATAATATTTCACAATATTACAGTTTTTACTGTATTTTTGATCCAATAACTGTAGCCTGTGTGAGCAGAAGAGACTTCTTTCAACAACATTAAACAAAATCTTAATTATTTGTATAGAGTTACATAAATGTACAGTATCAAAAAAAGTTACAAATACAAATAATGACCTTAATAAAATAAAACTTTAACTAACTTTATATGAAAAATAAATAGGAAGGTGTAGAATATGGCTTCTTTAAATAGAATTCAGAGAACGAAATGAATGAATATATTAATTGCAGTTTCTGTTTTGTAGCTCATCAGCTCTGGGGGTTTTTACTGGAGTGGGCCGCATGGCAGCCATCATGGGAAATGTTGTTTTTGGGCAGCTGGTGGACTCCAACTGTGCCGTACCTCTGCTGATGGTGTCTGCGCTCCTGCTGGCAGGAGGACTGGCGGCTCTACGCCTGCCTCAAACTAAACAGACTGAACTGACATGATACAGCCAAGCTTGGCATTCTGGGACCAAAATACCAAACCAAAGAGCTTAACAATTTGCCTTAATGTTGCACAAGTGCACTATGAAAAGTCGACCTGAAGGTTCCACACACTTTTTGCCATGTTTTCTGTACTGAAATCCTTAGTATCAGTAATTCTTATTGGCAGCTGAAAGCCTTATTAAATTAAATCTTGAATATTTCATAAATATTAAGTTCAAAATCTGTCCTCGACCCATTTGACTTCTGTAATCAGATATATTTGTATAACAAGTCATACATTCTTATCATAATTTCTTATTTTTCACAACATTTTTATTTTAGTTCAGTTGATTTTTATGGTATTAATGAATTTTAATAGTTTCTAAATGAATTCATAGGATATTCAATTGACTTTACATTTGTATCTAATTGCATAATAATTCCCTTTAGAGTGATATTTTCTAACACTTTCATGTTTGCACACCAAAATAAACAGAACGGCCAATGGATTGATGCTTCAACAACTTTATTTTGTCCACTCTGAACATTTGTAAATAACCATGGCAATACTTGCAGAGTAATGAGGTAGAGACTTTGAAAATCTAAAAAGCAGCTGCAAAAGGCAACAAGGAAGAGATGATGCTCTTTGGCACAGCGAGAAACCAGAGCCGTGCAGATTTACTGAACTAAGGTTAGGAGTGTTTAAAGCAAAATACAAAACTCAATGCGAGGATTTCACTTCGATCTGCTCTAACAAACAAATTTAAAACCACTGGCAAACGTTTCCCTAGTGCCATGTTTAAAAAAGTGCTACGATTTGATAAAAACTATGTACAGCACAGAGGTCAGAGTAACATCCAGAGTTGCTAACAAGAGTTGTATTCAATCTGATGGATGATTGACGGGGTGCAGCGGGGTGGTTGCTAAGCAACAGCATCAGCCAGCTGTGATGTCACTTCCTGGAGCATTTTACAAGCCAAGATGCTCATCAACCATTTAATAGTGTTAAAAAACAAAATAAAAAGGCCCTAAAGGAAAAGACACTGAGACAGCCCAACTTCAAAATCTGTTTTTAAAAAAAAAAAAACTCTAAAAATCACCAGCTAACCAGCCAATAATAATAATAATTAAAAAAAAAAAAGGTCTGGAAAAGCTGGTAACAAAAAAGAAGCCGAAGGCACCGACTGGCATTTGCCTGCAGAGGGTCAAAACTGCAAGAAACTAATTTCTGTTCATGCTAAATTTAAAATACAACTCTTAAAATCAGATATCCATGGCGATGGCTGTCTGGTTAACTGTGCAAGTGGCTCAGCATCAACGAACCCTTTAGTGTGCATAGAGCCTTAATGAACGAGAGCAGTGCAATACAACGCAATAACCTCCTCAAGTGAGTCGCCCCTGTTTCCCCTCAGACTCACACCAACATCCTTTCAAGAAACAGTGAACTCAGTCCGGACTCTTCCCCACGCCGCTGACGCTGGGTTTAGTGGGGGTTCAGGCCCTTCTGGTTGCGCATGAGTGGCTGATGGCTACTCAAAACATCCAGAGAGTGACGCCAATGCCAGCATGACCGACAGTGGTATTTAAAACAAGCCTGGAAGAACAAAAAAAAAAAATAGTTTCAAGAAATATACATAGAAGTGCAATACGTAAAGAGTGTGATTTGTTAGGTGCTTATATATATATAAAACTTCAACTTAACCCAGTGAATCAATAATCTAATCAATTCGCCGTCAACCCAAAGATTCACAGCCCTACTTATTAGAAACATGGCCACAATAAAGAAATACATTCAAAAAGTTGATCAAACAATGTTTAAAAATTGTTCATGTTCACTGTCACGTTGATAATGCACATTTACAGTAAAATAACACAATGTGAAAAGAGTGATTTCTGAGAAACAGTTGATATCTGAAATCAACCCAAACAAACACACCCCTCCCTTCACAAACACTCAATGCAAGGGTGGATGCTTTATCATAGCTGAAGCAAAGCTTTGCGAAAAATAAAGTGAAGATGGATGAACATACAGTGAACAAGCAGCTCACTCTGTCTCCAGCAGCTCCAGACAAACAATGACACTCAAAACTGCTAAAGTAGCTAACATTACATCAACAGCATATCTTGGTTCTGTGAAACTTAGCAAAACCAATGTTTCTCACGAATGGAGCAGAAACAACACAACCACAGGTTTTTTAGGCCTAACAGGCCGCTTTGGTCTCTCCAGCGCTGAAAAGCTTTTCTAGTATTAACACAAGTCCTAAAGCTCTTGCCTAATCGTTACTTTTCTCTTACCAGTGATATTCCTCTGACCTTTTCTCTTTTGTAATGTCTCTCGGCGATCTCTCTTTCTTTAAATCTCGCTCTTGCTCACTCTCTCCCCCCTTATCACGAGTGGACACGCCCCCTGCTGCTGATTGGCTCACTCTCTCTCTTACCCCATCATAAATGGACACGCCCCCTACCGTTGATTGGCTACAAGTGTGTTGTACTGCTCGGGGTGATCCACTTTCAACAGCGTTTCTCAGAAATCACTTACTGCACCTTTAAAGGGCAGAATCATGCTGAAACAAAGTGACCTGAGCTGAAACTCTTGATATGATGCTTTACAGTGTTCATACCTGGGCCCTACAGAAGAACGGGCCGGGCTGACTGTTACATATTTGGCACATGGAGTCATCCAGATACGGGTCAATCTGGATCTACAGAGGGAACAGAAAGAGAGTGAGGTAGATACACGGGGATGATCTTTGATGCTGTATATTTAAGTCCTGCTCTTCTGTACCTTCTTGGTAAACTTGCATGTTTTTATCTGCACAAACGCCGCAGTCACGGCTTTCAAGTAGCTCCTCTGGCTCCTAAATGTCACTCGTCCAGAACCTACACGAACAAATGCAACACGTTCACTCTATGGGTGTAGAAAAATATTCTTAAGGCCAGATCACACCAAGGACAATAACTATAACGATAATGATAAAGATGTAGTTCTAAAAATGGTTTAAAAGAATAGCAGAGTTCACACCACAACTATAACGATAACGGCACAGAGAAAAGATATCGAATCATTTTCAGAACGATTTTTTCCAACTGATGAACAATAAAAACATTGACAGCCAATCAGAATCAATCCTGGTTTAAAGAGCTCAAGCATTTAAAGCGGTAGACAACAAAACTGCAGCGCGCGCTTAGAATAAACAATGATATCGTCCGTTGGTGTGGACACCAATATAGTTATCGTTATAGTTATCATCCTTGGTGTGAATATGGGCCTTTAGGGTGTGTTCAAACTTGTAGTTTGGTTCTCTTAGTTTTCTGGACCAGAACAAAAAAGAAAATGATACGTCCTGGTTCACTTGGTGTTCACACTGTCATTTTCAACAACAAACATAAAGATACAAAACAAAACCAATGGCTTTTATGACGTGTATTTTGCGACGGAACTTTCCGAACATCCAAAACAAAGCTGTGTGCTTGGGACAAACACGCTCATTACAAGTGCGTTCATATGGTGGTGTTTTCTACCAACTGACAACTCATGAAGACTTTAGAAAGTGTGTAAAAGTGTCAAAACAGCGTCAGGAATCCCTCCGTCACACGCACAAACGAAGATCTGCTGCAAAAAGACAGTGATTCCGACTCCGGTAACAAACTCTAATGGACAGCGTAGTTCATGTGATGAAAGGAACCATGTATGCTTGAGCATTCTGTCCTTTTTATGGTCCTGTTTTTAGTTTGTTTAGATGTCTTTGGTCCGTGTTGCGTTCATATATCATTCAAACCAAACCAGAGTTCGTTTGTAAGCAGACAGAGACCTATCCTGGTTAAAACCAGACCATTCTCAGTTGTAACTGAGTTATGGTCTGGCAAAGCGTCATAGACAAATCATTTCCAGAGGGGCGTCACCAACGGACGTCGCGGATAGTCCTAAAACCAATCAGAGCGATGAAGGAGATGACGTATGCAGAGCGGCGGAGAAACCGAGTGTTGTTCTTTGCTCGGTTTTTAACAAAAAGGAAATGTTCAAACCGCTTAAAACAGACGCGATAGCTGATTGGAACGAGTGATGTTCGACGGCGGCATCCATCTTTGTAATGTAGGCTACAAAATCTGCTTCAAAATCCCAGCGCTGTCGTCATCGTGTAAAGCCCGCCCCAACGTTTCTGATTGGTGCCGCGATTTCGGCGGATTGGAAATGGGCTTGAATGAGCTCTTTGCCAGACTAACTTTCAGAGCAAATCTAAATTTGCCAGAAGTTGTCTGGGTTTTCCCAGGCTAACAGAGACCCATCTTTTCAGGACTCTTGGTCCGCTTGTTTGGTGCACACCAGGGTTCGGATGGCAGCGTTCACACTTATGGTTCAAATGAACCGCACTAACAGAGCAATCACACTAGAGTTTGTTTTATTCTAACCAAACCTGCTAAGTGTGCACACACCACCACTTTCATATAAATGAAAGAAGCGTGCACAAACCTATGGGATATTTGTGCTTGTCTGTGTCGATGCCTGCGTACGTGACCCCTCCGAAGAGATCGTCCATGATGTGTGCCAGGCCTTCTGCATTTAGCATCCCGTGTAGAGCGCCCACGAACACGGTCCTATTGCGGCAGAGACGCTGGGAGGGACAACGGACGAAATTGCTGTCCGAGATCACCCACGGGATGACCTGCACCTGCAGTAGAAGAAGTGAGAGAACGGGGTCAGAGGCCAGGGGGCAAAAACAGTGTGTTTAAGTGCATGTTATTCTCACATCTTTGCTGTGGATCCGCCTGCTGGACAGCTTGTAGAAGAACTCGAGATAATCGTCAGACTGCAGGCGGTGTTGAGTACAGGCCTGCAGGAGCATCTTCACTGACTTCTCCCAGTCAAACAGCAGGTACACATAACCTGCACAAACACAAACAATCACTTGTAACACTTACATGAAAAAAAATGTAAATATGTGTGTGTTTTATGTATAATATTTGATACTTATTGCTTGTGTGGTAATTTATTGATCACAATAAACATGTATTTTTAATTGCATTTACAACCTCTGAAGCATTTTCTATTAATTTAATCATTTTTGTTCATAAAAGGAACTTATGATTCGTGGAAGTTTCAATGCCACCAAAGGAACCAGGTTAATACAAATATATAACTCTTTCCCTGCCATTGACAGTAGAGGGCGCTATTACGCATCTTCTGAAAGAGTTCTGAATCTCCAGATCAAAACACAGGAGAAAAAAAAAGCAGAAACAAGTGATACAGGGAACTACACTTCGACCAAAATGGTCGCATATGCGACCTTTTGAAATGCCATTGCGACCCTAATTTTTAATGGGTCGCAAATGTATCACCGTTTGATTATTTTTGTACCTATATGTTTTAGGCAATATGCTATGATTTACTATGAGCATTTATTAAAACAGAAATGTGTATTTTAAGAATACGTTTTATAACGTTCTCTGAGCATTCAACACATCAAGTTGGCTTCGCGCTTGTTTAACTGAGAGAACGAGAGAGAGTGAAAGCCGCGCGCGCGCACTCTCTCGCCATCTTCACACTGTCTTGCTCTCTCTCCCGCCCTCGCTCATATTAATGAATTGAGTTGACTGAATATCTTTGAGAATACACGATGGTATTTTTTTCCTGAACTACCACTGGTTGTGAATTGTGCTAAAATAACGTTGCCTCATCTTCTCTGAAAAGCTTTCCACACAAATATGACATAAACCACACTTTCAATAAACAAAACAAAAAAATCTATCTAGTGATGAAATGTTTTCTGTGTTGAGAGTGAGACAAATCTTTTGCGATGTCCTAAACTGCCTGGATAATCACACAACGTGTGCCGTGGTCCGTTAATGACACGTCCGATTCGCGAACTAATATGACTCCTTTGAACCGATTCACTTTAATGAATGGTTAAAACAACTGATCTGTCCAACACTGAACTCAAGAGACATAAATCAGAAACACTTTACAATAAGGTTCCATTTATTAAAGTCTAGTTAACTACATTAAAACATTCTATTAATATTAGTTTCTATGTGGATTTACTCCATGACAAAACCACCCCAGTCATTCTAGAATGATTCATTCTTTCCAAATAGAGCTTTTTGTTTGAAATTGTTTTTATATCGCAATATATATCACAGCAAAATCAAATATCGCAATGTCATTTTTTACCAATATCGTGCAGCCCTACTGTAAATTCTGTGGGCCTTCAGGACTGTCCAAATTTGTAACTGCGTCAAAACAATTCAAACACAAATCATTGAAGCTTCACTATGACAGTATGAAGCACGCGAAGTGGATTATATTTATTTTATTTTTCCTTAAGAGTTCAGAAGTCTACCCATCTGTGCCTGCAATAGCATGTTGAAATCCAAAAGAAATTCATTTAGCACTTTATTGTGTAGGCCTACTGTATTTTCTATTGCAGTAAATCTATCCCAACCAATTTTAAAGAAAACAAGAAGGCATTTGGTTTAAAAGATGGCAAGTAAAATAAAAAGCACATCTGTATGCAATACAGTTTCATTATTGGTCATTATTATCCAGAGTAGCTTACTATAAATAATTTGTGCGACCAAATCATGTTTTGCGCTAGTAACTGAAAAAGTAAGTAGCGCAAGTGCCACCAGTGGAAAATGTTAGTGTAGTTCCCTGTGATAGCATATGTAAGCAGATCCATATGTAAAATAACATAATCATCAACATTAAATAACATATAAATCAAAACTGCCTGATGTTACTGAAGGAAAAGTCGACCCAGGATGAGCTACAGGACTGAAGCTTTAGGGTGTTGATGGACTTGATCTACTCCATCTGTGTTTTGATCATCGTTCTGAATCCAATCTGGATGTAGTCTTTGACAAAAACGTGATTTCCTCAGCTTTTTGCTCAAAATGTTGCTTTATTTATGAAACATACCCACATTTTTATACACATACCACCCTTTTTCTTTTCTTTTTTCTTTTTTTTAAGCAGAGGGACTGATGGATGTTCAGATATTCATACAAGAAAATATTCTGGGGGCCATGAAACTTTTGTGAAAATTATCAAAAATAATTTGCTAACTTTTGATCCTGGCAACTTTTCCCCCCAAAAATGCTAAATGTAAAAAAAAAAAAATGTTCAAATATATCAATGTATTTATAAATATATTTATAAATATATTCAAAATGACATAACTTTGAATAATGAAAAAAATACGTACGTTAGAATATTATAAAAATCTAATTTTAATTTTATTAATGTTAGATAGATGTTGTTGAATTGTAGATCTGGAATTGTTACCTTGAGGAGGACAGCGTGGGTGTTTACCATCTTTACCAGGCCACTCAACTTTCAATGGACCAAACACACTAAATGTGTGCAACAGACTTGCTACAAAGAGAGAGAGAAAAATAGTCATTCACAAATCGTTTGTGTTCAGTTCAGTTCTGTTTTCATCAACTTTGTTTTTGTTCCTGTTTCCTTTGTTCCCATTTCTAGTTTTTTTTCTATGGTTACTCATTAGTTGACTGATTAGTCCCCACCTGTGCCTTGTTTTACTCCTCTTTATCCTGTGTATTTAACCCTCCTCCGTTTGCAGTCCAGTGTCATGTTGTCTTTATGCTACTGACCAAGTAAGCGGCTACGTTTTCTCCAACTTGTGAGTTTATATTTCTATTACCTTCTTTGTTTTTTGGTTTTTGTTAAAGGGGTCATGACATGAGAAAAAGGTTGAAAAATTTGTTGTTGTTTTTTATATAAAAAAACAACAACTTTATTAACATTTATAAGTGAACCTCAAGGAACATATTAAAATAATAATAAAAAATCCACGTCATGACCCCTTTAATAAAAGGACTCGAAATGTATCCATCTTTCTTCCTCATCACCATCCTCTGATGTGATGCATGATACCGAATAATAATCTCCATCTCAAATGTGTGTTTGTCAGCTCACCCTCTGTGATGTCCCATGGCACACCTCCCAGGAACACTTTACAGGAGTAAACGGGGTTTTTGTAGTGGCGTGGAGGAAGTTGCCCTTCCCAGGTGTAAGTGGCTTCATTCACGGCTGTGAGACGCAGTCAATCATAAAGTCACTACAATATCAATGACAGCTAGACAGAGTGCAGCAACTAAATGCAAGAGTTTTAAGATGCATTTTAATGTTTAACCATTTTTACCATGTAAAAGTTAACATGAAATACTTAAAAATTAATGGAACACTTTAATTAAGATTAAGACAAAATATAAAGATATCAAAAAAAAAGGTTGCATAAGGTTTTTTTTAGTACCATATTTGATACATCAGGATTTTATGGTATGATCTAGTAAGAATATGGCTCTCATACTTGAGGAAAAAACAGCTCAATTTTATTCAGAGACTCAAACTGAGCAAAAATATGCTATTTCATGTAGTTGCTTATTTATATGTCCAAAAATTAAGATGAAATGCTTGTAATGTAAATCAATCAGATCTTTATAACAGTATAACTTCTTGCATAAAGCATATAAATATCTGTTGTAACTCTATCTGCCAAATAATGTCTTAGTAAGTTGATTTAATTGCTTAGTTTTATGATCAAATCTAGTATCATAAAATAGTTTTTATGTACAGTGATTGTGTACAACCCAATGATGATTGAGAGATGTTCAAATAAACGTTACTTAAAAGACTGATGTATCATATTTGATATTCACAGTTTAACGTGATTTGTCTTATGTAAGGATAATCAAGAAAACATATGTTGCTTCAGCTAAGAAAATATTCATCTTGAAATATTACTAACAATATAAAACTTATTCTCACTTTTACTTCAGATCTGAAAAGAAACTTTTACTTTTTTTTAAAAATCAGTAAAGATTTCACAACAAAAATACACATGAACCAAGACCTGAAGTTGAACGCTTACAATTACAATAAAAGGCCTTTTATTTGCTTAAATTTATAACTATCAATCAGACGACAGAAGGCATGTAGTAGATTGTGTGCAACAGGTTTTCAGCAGTTTTGATCATTTTAAGGCCGTAGAAATTTGCTAATCAAATGATACAGTAGGCTTTGTATAGGGTTAATTTGATATGGCAATTTTTAAAAAATCTAAACTTTAAAAATGCACCTCAAAACATCTGTTCCATTTTCTTTCTTTTTTTTAAACGTCACATTTAAATAGCGCTTTATACAATATTCATTGTTAATGTTGCAAAAAATTAATGAATTAAGTTACATTGAGTATTATCATGCTTATTGAATCTAATAGTTTAGCATAGGTGGCTAATGTAACTGTACCTGCAGCTTGTTTATGAAGTTTGGCCTCTCTCTCGATGCAGAACGAGGGTTTGCTCAGGCTCAAAGTGTCCCAGCCGGGCCAGATGGGACCTGTGGACCAGCACCCAAACACTGACCCGTCAGCCTGAGCACTGGGAGCGTTCGTGAAGGTGGTTAGTGGGTTCTGCCCCAAACGGGCAACTGCGTCCAGTTTCACGCCCTCCGCCTGCAGTTCAGGCAGCACCAGGGGCGACGGGGTTGAGACTCTGAGAGAGGCCTGATGGAGACGGACACGCTAATAACCACACTATAACTACTGAGAAACTGACACTGTGGAAATCTGTGAAAGGTTCCACTGCACTCTTTTGAGTTCCTGCTCACCAGGTGTTCGGATCCTGAAGAGAACACGCTGTTCTCGGAGTTGACGGGACTGCTGGACCCAGAGTGCAGCAGAGAGTGAGGCTCCAGCGCTGGGATCAGACTCGAGAAGCGCTCCAGTGGATCTGCTCCAGCGGCAGAATCACGGGTCTGGAAAGCCAGCTGCTGAACCGAATCACCGCCTCGTGAAGCACCAAACAGATTAAACGCTGCAGGAGAGAATATGTGATTAAAAATGTCAATTACGGACTTTTTATAATTACATTCTTTAATTTCTTAAGGGGCGTATCATTTTAGCGGAAAACAATAACTTGGCAAAATCATGAATATTGTGTTTTAAATATTGGTAACGCTTTACAATAAGGTTAATTAGTTAACTACCTTAGTTAACATGAACTAAGAATGAACAATACTTCTACAGCATTAATTAATCTTAGTTAATATTAATTCCAACATTTACTAATACATTATTAAAATCAAAGGTTGTATTTGTTGACGTTACTTAATGCACTGTGAACTAACATGAACAAACGACGAACAGCTGTATTTTTTATTAACTAACGTTAACAAAGATTAACTAATACAGTAACAAATGTATTGATCATTGTTAGTTCATGTTAGTTAAAACTAATGAACCTTATTGTAAAGTGTTACCAAAATATTAAACTAGTTATTTACACCATTGTTTCTATGTTTGGGATCAGTTTTTATTTTGAAAAATTATTTTATTCAGCAAGGATGCATTAAATTCATCAAAAGTGACACTAAAGACATTTATAATATTACAAAATATTTGTAAAAAAAAAAAAAAGTAAATGTATCCCTGTTTCCACAAAAATATTAAGCAGCACAACTGTTTTCAACATTGAAAATAATCTGAATTTTTTTAAGCAGCAAATCAGCAAATTAGAATGATTTCAGAAGAATCATGTGACACTGAAGACAATGAGAAATGAACTGAGAAATGAATCTTTGAACACAGGAAAAATATATATTTTAAAAGATATTAAAATAAAAATGATGGTCACACTTTAGATTAGGGTCCAATTCTCACTATTAACTAACTATTAACTATGACTTTTGCCTTAATAAACTCCTTATTACTGCTTAATATTAGTAAAGTAGTTAAGTTTAGGTATTAGTAGAATTAAAGGATAAGGCATTTATAAGCATTAATAAGCAGCCACTATTCTAGTAATATGCATGCTAATAAGCAACTAGTTAATAGTGAAAATTAGACCCTAAACTAAAGTGTTACCAAAATAATTTTAAGCTCTTGAAATAATAGCATATAATGAGCATTAATAGCTCCATTTTAGAAATTGGCCAACTTCTGGCTCAACCAGTGCTGTGAGTCTAGGGTTGGACTACCTGTTTTTTTCCAAAAGATGGCAGACAGGGTGGGTGGCGTGTTTTTTATTTGAGCATTTATGTCTGCAGCCAATAGTAGCAGAAAAATAACACTGTAATCTTTATTCCTGTGAAAAGACTGAATGAATGGGAGAAGTGCTGGATGAGACAGCAGAAACGAGCTTGGTGTGTGTGTGTGTTCCTCTTTTACAGGATTTGGGTCAGAACAAACCTAAGGCACATCATGGCTTTCATTTAAAACATGGATGGACACACTCATTTAAGCTTGTAATCTGAGATAGGGAAGCTATAGGGAAAGTCAAAATGAAACGCATCCCAACGCTGATGAATCCAGCGTTCTGTCCTCTGTGATCGGTGTGAAAATGATTAGTCATGAGTGAGAAATCAAGATATGAGACAACACTACAGCTCAGACCTTCCAGAACAATCTATTAACATTAAAAATCTGAAAATCCTTAAAAAGTGATAAACAGTTTAATTTATTTTTCTCACTTTATTCGTTTTTTTCCATTTAAATGTAACAACACTGATAGAGATTTATACTTAAATAAAAATAAAAAACTATATAGCTACTATATATATATATGGAATATATAGATAATTTATATAATGTAATATGCATTTAAATTAACTATATATACTTTTATTCATAAATCTCAGTTAGTGTTGTTCAATTTAAATAAAACAAAAATCTAGCTAACTGTTAATTTATATGCACTTAAAGTGTTTATATATATATATATACAAATTTAATTATTTAAATGTAACCACTGACTGAGGTTAATGCTTAAGTATAAATAAGGCTTATACTTACGTATATAAAAATATAGATATATTCTCTGACATCAAGTCTTATTATCTTTAAACAATTGTGTAATATTTGTATTATAAAATATAGTCTATATTATTATTTAGATCGTATATTTTGTTTATAGATCATATATTCTCAGATAATCAAGACAAACGCACTGATTTGTTTGCAGTTCACTCACAAACTCACAAAGTGTCTGAAACTAGCTTGAACAGACAGATAGGAGCGGCCACACAAAACTGTAAACATCACATTTAACACACAGGTTCACTCACCGGGCTGGGTCGAGCGCTGGGGATCAGGGCGGCTCCAGGGCTGCTGGGTCCAGCAGGGGAGGCTCAGAGACAACAGGCCCAGACTGAGCTCATCAACGCTGGGCACGACAGCCACGGGATCCTGCTGCTCTGGAGAGAACAGCATTCTGCTAACCAGCGGAGAGCAGCCTGAGCCCGAACCATCTATGTGTGTGAGAGAGAGAGAGAGAGAGAGAGAGAGAGAGAGAGAGAGAGAGAGAGAGAGAGAGAGAGAGAGAGAGAGAGAGAGAGAGAGAGAGAGAGAGAGTTACAGAGGCACAAAGACACAAAGACACACGACCGAACCTCGTTTCCCATACCGACCTGCCGTTGGTCCAGTGGAGGTCATTATATCGCTGTGTGTTCATCACTGACCTGTTAAACATGTGACTGCCCCACTGAAACCTCACACACTGCTGCTAGTGCTAAAGCCATGCTCACTCCATCACACACACACTCGGTCTGCCAGAACTGCCTCACCACCTCCCGTCCCTGTGTGTGTGTGTGTGTGTGTGTGTGTGAGAATCACGTGTTCTGTCTGTCTCTCTGGCCCGTCTCCCATTCATGGCCTGACTCAGCAGAGAGACAGACAGAAGAGGGCAGGGCTTCAACGATCACTATGATTCAGCTCATTTGACTTCACACACACACTGCTGAACCCAGGCTGTACCAGACACACCCTAGTGTCGGACTAAAGGGGCGTTCCCAGCTAACAGGAAACATTCTAACGTTAATCAAAGTTATCATGGGCCTGTTGCACCAGCTGTGCGTAAGTTACAACTTAGCCTAGTTTAGATGTAAATGAGCACTAAGTTATAACTTACACACTACTATATGTTTTTTGGCGTTGCACAATTAAAGGAATAGTTCGCTTAAAAATGAAAATTCTGTCATCATTTACTCACCCTCAAGTTGTTTCAAACCTGTATGAATTTTTTTCTTCTGCTGAACACAAAATAAGATATTATGGACCCACTTGACTTCTATAGCATTTTTTTCCCGACTATGGAAGTCAATGGGGTCCATCAACTGTCTGGTTGCCGACATTCTTCAATATATCTACATGATAATGACATTTACACTCGCTTTTATTTTAAGAGAAAGAACATTATGTAAATAGATTACTTTGTTAGCAGCTCTTGAACACGCGAGCACCTATATGTGTATATATCATATAAAATCATTCATAATAAACTATGTATACTCTATATACAGTATATTGTATAGTTAATATAAATTAACTATACCTAAATATACGGTTCTGAGACAATATTCATTGCCGTTCTAAAATTAATTTTTCTTTTGCAAGCTACATGTGAAAGTGAAATTCTATCACTTTCACATTGTTAGAAAAAGTTGATTTTATCTATCAGGATAATGAAAAGTGTGCATTAGATTCCAGCATCTGCAGGTTTGCGAAAACAGTTCTTAAATAGCTATTTGTATAATTGGTTAACTTTAGTCTAACAATAGTCACACTAGTCTAAAACTCTTGTTTCAGAATATGAGCAAGTACTATATTTCTAAACAAAATCCTGACAAAGAATCTATTCATATTAGTCAATGTTGATTTCAACATTATCTAGTAATGAAAAGCAAAAGTTGTGTCTGTTAATTTTATTTAACGGATCTGAGTTAACATGCACAAACAAAGAACGGTTGTATTTTTATTGACCAACGTTAACAACTTGCTCATTGCTTAAGTTTATGTTGACCTTACTGAGACCTTTAGTCTTAAATTTAGTGTAGCCTATCTGTGTGTATGTGTGTGTGTGGATCTCACCTGTGAAGTTCTGCTGGTTGGCCCCTGTGAAGAGCCCAAAGGGCCTGTGAGCTCCAGGGTCTCCATAAGTAGCATGACGATGATTTTTCACTCTCTGTTAAAAGAAACAGTATGACAGTTTGTTCTATGCGAACATGGGTGACAGAACTGTCAAAATGGCTGAACATTTCCTTTAAGTCTACTTGTAAGTAGTTAACTAAAATAATTATAGAAAGTGTTGGAATGTACAGCTGAAAAATGAAGCAAGAACCTACCAAACTATGAAAAATTCCACTTACTATTAACATGAAGTCTGTGTCTTATAAGCTAATAAGCTCACTGCTTAAAACAGTAATTAGGTGTTGTTTATATTATTTATCTTCCTTATTTTTTTTATTTATATGCCTTAATGCTCGTCATCTTTTTTATTCTTCTGTGTTGTCATTGTTGTTTGCCTCAATTCGTGTACTTTATGTTTGCAGTATTTTTATTATACAGAGCTAAGTTGCAAATGTTTGGTGATGATGATATATACAGTTCGCGCCAATACAAAACTGAAACTGAAAGTTTAAGACTTTTTCATACACAGATGATGTCTCTTACCCTGCAGAAATCCATTAGAGCGTCTAAATGCAGCTAAAAACAAAACAAAAACACGACAACTTTGACTTTATAATTTACAGTTCAGGCCGCTCAAAATGAGTGTAACGCTGCTGCTCGACACACCAGGATTCAAACCTGAACAGGTTAGAGAGTCATTTTGCTTTGAACAGGTGCATGAGCTCAGCATTAGCACATCACGCGCACATTGCGAACATCCACGCGCAGACAACAAGCGATCAATATACAGTGGGGGTCGGGGCTAGTTGTCACACGGGAAGTTGTCACGACTCACGAGGGTTATATATTTCAGTACCTAAAATGTTTTTTTTTTCTCTAACAGTAGTTTTATACATGGTTTTAAATGTTTATAAAATTATACGAATAGATGTATTACAATGTATTAGCCTACAATAAATTCTGTAAACAATTTCTGTCCTCAGAAATGGCCGATAAAAATCGCCGTTCGATTAATTGTTTTGACATTCAAATTTACTATTTAAATTGGGTTGAAAAGCCCTTTAGGCTACGCTACATTGTGACCGCTATTGGGGCATGTTGTCACAAAGCTATGTGCTCATTGAACTGAATTCCTGTTTTTCTAGACAATAATGGTGGAAATGTTCAATTGATTTTTGTAGACTTTATGTTATTCGTCTAGGCCTATACAGAAATTGCGTTTCATAAATACACCAACTTGAATAAAACTGGAATAGCCTGCATAAATATCAATCCACATTATAAACAATAACTCAAATCAAAGTTAAATAATAAAAGAAGACATCTTTATTTGAGTGTGTGTTCTCTTTTATTGACATTTAAAACTCTTTATAATAAATAGAGATATAATATTCAAACAACACATGATTTCCCACTGTCACACAGAGATGAGTCAGTAAAGCTGGATTTCATTTTTACCTTGTGGAGGACGGAGGAAGATCTGGTTTATGCCAACAAGCACATCATCATAACTAAAAATAAGTCTAAAACTAACTACTAATGGAGTCTTCATCAAGATAAACGGCTCCAGATTGCATTTAAATATCTAAAATAATGGGATTGTGAGTTACTGTACTTCTCTGAGAGCTTCACGAGAACAAGAAGCTGATAAACACCAGTCTTAGATTCAGTAGTTACACATTTGCAAAAAAAACAAAACAAAACAAAAACAGAGAAGACATACATTTCCTTTTGAGAGATTAGATGAGGTTGCTACAAAATCTGAGATGAAGGCAGCAAATTCATACTGATGTGTGTTTTGGAGCTTTTGGCTTTGCTAAACCAACAGAAATTGACTGCATTATGTTCCAGAGAGTTCAACAAAGCTCAAAAACCAGTTTGATGTGGTTTCTGGAAACAAATCTACTGTCGTCATTGGGATGTGGTCTGGGATCAGATGCAAGATGTTACATTCAGAATATGTGTAAGCTAAACGCTAAAAAATAAACCCCACTGAGCTTCCGTTAATTTTAGGAAGATCACAAAGGCAACGATTGATCTGAAAGCAAATTAATAACTCAGATGATTATTAGTCTCTTTCGTTGAGCAGATGGATTGTTATTAACTGGTTGCTGTTGATTACAAGGTAGTGTCCAAATACTTGTTTTGAGCATGTACTGTAAATCCTAAAGAGACCCTAAACTAAAACTGACACAGGTTTGTGCAGTAATTCGGCAGGTTTATGGTGCACTGACTGTCTTTGATGCCATGCAACATTCAACAGAGGAACATAAGAGGAACATCCTGATTACGAGGCCCTGAATGTTGTTGTTGTCGCGGTTCTGACATCAGTATATTTTTGATGCTACAAGCCAGTCCACGCGGGGGAAATATCTACACAGCGATGCGACTCAATGCGGTAAGCAGCAGTAGGAGGGTGTTGACTGTAGGGGGCGCCATCACTGCGACAGGGCCTGCAGGATATCTTTAACCAGCATCGTGCCGATCACCATCTTCTCACAGTTGACCGTCAGCTGAGCTCCGACCCCTTCCTTCGTAGCGACGGTGACCAGCACGAGACAGCCGCTGCTGACCGTTTTACCTGCGAATCTGTAAACAGGAGCGGAAGGAGGAGGAGGAGGAGTACTGAGATTTCAAGAGATCACAGGCCAGAAAAACAGACAGTAAAGTAAAGAAAAGTGAAAAATGAAAGAGTTTTACATACTCAAATAATAAGCCTAAATCAAAATATACTTGCACATACGAATCTGAGAGTCCTCGAAAATATAACTAATACTCATACTGGCGCTACACAAAAAAAAAAAAATCTAACAGATTATTAGAGTGTTTTACAAGACAATACTATTTGTGCCTTCAAAATTCCATGTTTAATTCAATGTGTTACTTGCTGTTTCTTTGTGATTATTTGTGAAATTCACAGGCAATTTTTGAGTGAAAATAGTTTCTACACCAGATTTATTCAGTGTAGTTCGATGACCCGTTCCAATTGACACAACTAGTGTGTACTTCATCTACAAGATCATCGAGTGTCCCATTTGTCATATTTTGGTACAGAAATGTGCTCACTAGCTTTTCACACTTGAAATTCTAAAACCTTGGTAAACGGAATCCTGGGTTATCTTACATGTGTGTTAACATTCTTATTTGCATATTTGGAATGTAAGTGTCACTGATTGGATGAGCAGAGCATGTGACCTGTTTTTCAAGCATTGGGCATCCTTATATTATATATTGCTGGCTTTACTATTAAGGACTTTTTGGACTATAAAGGTATGTATGAAATGTCACTAGTATATATATATATATATATATATATTATACACACACATATATATTTACAAACGTATACAAAACTTTTACACACTTGTTAGATGCGATTAATCGCAATTAATCGATTTGACAGCACTAACACTCAAAGTAGCCAAAATATGCTTAAGTGCAGTAGCTAATTACATTTACTCAATTACTTTACATCACTGGTGAAACGTTCCTTTACCCAGGGTTCAGAACGACAATAACACAGGGTTAAGCGTAGTGTGAAAAGCCCTTATGCAACATTGCATTACTAAAGTCTTCATTTGGGACACAGCCACTGTATTCATGTGAGTGTGTGTGTGTGAGTGTTTATTACCTGCACTCTTTATCAGAACCGCAGGGTACCCTGCTCAAGTTGGCGGTGGCCGTGACTCTCTCAACGATGATGTGCTCGTTCACACATTTCTCTCCTAGCGACAACTTCTCTGAGATTTCATTCATTCCCATCAGTTTACCTGCAAAAAGACACACAAAGCATCACTTTGTCAGATTAGCTGAATGCTAATGAAAAAATGCTAACTCTGCTGACAACCTAATCAACAACAATTTTTAGGAATCACACTTGCACTCCAGATGTGAAGACTCTGAACAGTAGGCAGCAAAATTATGACCAAAAAATACCAAGACCAAGCGCTGAAGAGCATAAATAATTCCATCTAATTAAATGAATTATGTTGTTGTTAGCTTAGCAACATAAAACTAAAGTCAGACTCTATTGGTCTGTCGTGCATTGACAGAGTTGCTGCCCACAATGAGTGTTTCGATTCAACCACGTTAAAGCTTAAAAGTCATTATAGATACCACCTTGAAAGGTAGCAGTCTATGTAGACAGTAGACAAGAGTTTTTGTGAGCTGTGTTGAGCGTGCTGATCTCAAGAGTGTTGTGATGGTTCAGGGACGATCGGACGGGTTCAGTGTTTCTAAGGCACATTCCTAGTGAGATGCAGCATGTTGTTACCTTGACATGCCATGAGAAAATGCATAGTCATGGTAACAGTCGCCAAGGCAATAACTGAAGACTGCGTTAAGAGGGAGAGGCAGCTGGAAGCAAAAGCATTTACAGGAAGACAGGAAGGAGGTGTGCAGCTAACAAAAATATAAATTCAGGGACTAAAGTGGAAGAGGAGGTGACTGTAAGTGCTATGCTAATCGGCTACATCAGAGAAACTTACCATCCAAAAGATTCTCTAACGAACAGCGTCAAAACAACCCCATGGAAGAGGAAGACATGAGTTTGTTAAACTAATACGTTTCAACAAATACGTTAACACTGTATGCTAAACTGACAGACAGGTTTATGCTGAGCTGTTAGCGGCATGCTAACTAACTAGCGTGGGCTGAATTCCAATTCGCACACTATCCGTGACATAAAGTATGCTAGATTCAGTTTAGTGTGTTCAACATTGTAATATGTTGAAAATAGTTTGTCAAAATGACATGTGCATCTGTGCATGCTTTTGCAGTACAAGAGATATCAAGAGGCAAATTTCCTGTTACAAAATTATGTCGTTTTTTTTAGTGCACAATCGAAGTATGCAAATTAGGATTCTGCCTTGATAAAAGCCATGAAACAAAAAAAGGGCCATACTTCATGAATAATGAACGACAGACATAAAAAGTTTTCTCCTCATATCAACCCTTGAAAATGTATTTCAGAGACACCCAAAAAAATGACAGACATTTTGAGGAAAAGGAGCAATCGATAGACTGTGAGCGCTAAATTGAGAAAGGCTGATGTTCGCTCACCTTGCTCCTTCCTAAAGTCGTTTTCTGTCAGAAACGCCGGTGTCATGAGCTCCCCGACGGGCGGCTGGATCGTAACGAAGAATTTGCGGGTGTGAGTACTGAAAAAGAAATTGAAACATTATTTTTACAGTAAATAAAGCTAATTGGAATTGGAGTCAAAGAACTGATCCCAGTCATATAAATGGAGTTAAGCCAATCATAATGGAGGTAATTTGCATATAGAAATATTTTAACTCTTTCCCCACCAGCATTTTAGCCACCGCCAGCGTTTTTGATCATTTTCACAAAAATGTCATGGCGCCCAGAATATTTTGTTGTATGAAGATCTAAATATCCAATATATCAAAATAAAGAACAGACCCACTGCTTTAAAAAAACAATACAAAACAAGAAAGGTTTTATTCTAGCTTCAAACCCTATAGCTCGTCCTATATCGACATTTCATTCAGTAACATTATGCAGTTTTGCATTAAATATGCTGTTTAATGTTGATGACCAAATTATTTTACATATGCATCTGCTTACATATGATATCGCTTGCTTGTTTCTGCATCTTCTTTGCATGTGTTTTGATCAGGAGATTCAGTACTTTTTCAGAAGGTGTGTAATAGCGCCCCCTACCGTATAACAGTGAAAACACGGAAAGCCGGAAAGTTACGTCAATGTCGGGGAAAGAGTTAAATTCTAAATGTGACGAATGGTCATGAAAAACTAAATTATGACCATTTTGAGTGTAAGACAGGCATTATCATAAGTGGACATCAGGAAACAGAAGTGAATCATTCAGCTCCTCTTAAACACTCACCACAGCTGGAAGTTTGCTGCTTGCGTAGAATCACAAAAATCTATGCCCATCACCACAGTAACCGAATCACCTGCTGCTAACACCTCTGAAAGAACAACGCAAATAGAACAAAAATAAACTTGAAGCTCCTGTAGAAGAACTCATTCTGTGCTGGGCTGCAGACCTATCTCGGAGAACTCTCGGATCCTCATCCCGGACTGCAGCTTGGGCTCCTCGATGTGCAGGTTTTTGGTCTCTGAGTTGGTGTTGTTGGTGAATTGGATCTGGACGGCCACCATGTTGGGGTCTGGACTGAAGGGCTGCCGGCTGAAGCAGTACTCAACCGCAAGACCCTCGCCCTTTATACGATGCAGGAGCTCATACATCTTTATCGAACCAGAAGGTGCAATGGTCTATTGGAAAACAGAAAAGATTTTATTTATATCATATTAATCGAAATTTTATATACACTACCATTCAAAGGTTTGGGGTCAGTTAGAGGAAATGTATGCTTTTATTCAGTATTAAAAGAACTATATTACAAAAGAGTTCTATTTCAAATAAAAGCTGTTCTTTTGAACTTTCTATTCATCAAAGATTCTTGAACTGTTTCCAACATTGATAATAATCAGAAATGTTTCTTCAGCAGCAAATCAGCATATTAGAATGATTTCTGAAGGATCATGTGACTGGAGTAAAGACTTTGACCACAGGAATAAATCACATTTTAAAATATATTCAAATAGAAAAAAATATTGACATTTTTTGCTGTTTTTTGTGTATTTTTTTTATGAAACAGCAAAGTACATGCATAGTACTTTGCTGTTTCATAAAAAAAAATACAATTTACTGTTTTTCTGTATTTTGGCCCAGAACTCACTGTAGGTGCCAGAATAGAGTCGGTCAGTGACAAACCCTCTAGATCAGAAACCAGACTACTCGACATGAAGTTAACTGGAGTCACCGGAGCTGTTGCTGTGGTAGGTTCAACTGAGAGAGAGAGAGAGAGAGAGAGAGAGAGAGAGAGAGAGAGAGAGAGAGAGAGAGAGAGAGAGAGAGAGAGAGAGAGAGAGAGAGAGAGAGAGAGAGAGAGAGAGAGAGAGAGAGAGAGAGAGAGAGAGAGAGAGAGAGAGAGAGAGAGAGAGAGAGAGAGAGAGAGAGAGAGAGAGAGAGAGAGAGAGAGAGTTTATATGCTTTTACATTCAAGCATTTTTAGTATTTGGTCTTGTATGTCTTACTCACAGTCATCCAGATCCAACAAAGACATTTCTTGCGTCTCCTTCTTGCTCTCTTTTTTGGATTGTTTGGGAGGTTGTTTTGATACGGGCGTCTGAGCGAAACAAGAAAAATACATGAATGAACTCTCATCTGTGCATAAGGTAATTAGTAGAGGCAAATAGCAGTTTATTAACACCTTGATTCGTGTAACAACAGTAGCATACTACTTTTAGAAATGTTTATTACCAGATAATAAACTTTAATTATATGATATATTCTGCATAGTATTCACTAAGTAGTAAGCTAGTATCCCATTCTGAACTAGCCTGACTTCGTCATACTCATATTCTAGTCAGAATGTGAGTCTGATACTGCTTCATAGGGCTTTGATTATGAGGCGTGTCTTAACCGAACCAGGGAAAAAAAAAAACTCTGCACTCAATTGGATAGACCTACAACCAATGAGAGCAACGCAGTAAGTCAACTACTTTGCATAGCACAGTTGTCAACTACAGAACTCAAATGCACGCACGCTGGAAGAAGTAAAATAACGAGTGTTGCTTCTTTTACTTGGCCCTCTATGAGTGCGACCAAAGGAGAAACCACAACGACCACAGGGTTTTCATTGCGTCCCATCTTCTTAGTTACCATCGGAGCCAGCTGATAAAATAAACTTTTGCCGAATCCCGTAGGAAGGATGGCAAACACATCTTTCCGATCGACAAATGCCTTGATTGCAGTTCTCTGTTCGTCTTTTAAAATGAATGCGCTGTCGATTTCTTTTACAACAGACGCGATAGCGGAATCTCTACATCTCAGTTCTCCAGCTGCAGTCATCTCTGAGGGAAACCAGTTCAACCCAAGCGCTCTTTGATAACGTGAGGATTACGTCCCTGCAGATCATCTGTCCATCATCGTATAAAGCCCGCCCTGGCAATTTGATTGGCCCGACGATTTCTGAACCGATCATAATTACTCCTCAATGGAGCGAGTCCAGACCGAACTTCCCAACCAAAAAATGTTGTGGGCAGGGTTCGGGCTGGCATCCAGGCTAATTCTGAACTAGTCTAACCTTCTTCTTCCTGATGTCGGTGTCAGATTCAGACTCCTCCCCCGACTCCTCCGACTCCTCCTCCTCTGATTCGCTGCTCTCTGATTCGCTCTCTGACTCTGAAGCGCTCTTCTGATTCTTCACTGCTTTCCTGCCTCGTTTCCGGTCCTCGGTGCCGCTGCTCTGCTCACTGTGGGCATGATGGAGCAAAACATGAGACATTTGGAGAAACAAACGGATCAAAACTTTAGATAATTGACATTGGCTGGTCTAGATCTGTGGATGACGTACCTCTCTGCGCTCTCCTCCACTGGCTTCTTTGCTTTGGTCTTGTCCAGCCTTTTCTTTTTTTTCTTTTCCTCCTCCTCATCTTCCTCTTCCTCCTCAGACTCGGTCTCTTCTCCACTCTCTTCGCTCTCTGAACCGGAGGCGCTTTCATCACTGGCGCTAGCGCTTTCTGACCTGCTGCCGGAGTCTGATTCTGTCAAGAGAGCCAGCATAATCAATCATATCATCTAGCACTGACCGAGCTTAGTATTGTAGTGAGTTCAATTAAAATTTTCATTCAAAACAGCACAGTCAACGGAAATATTGATAAAAATATAAATATCATTTTATTTACTAAAATGTGTAAATATTAAAATGTGTATTTTCTAGAGATGCACCGCTGTATCGGCCAATAATCGGTATCGGCTGATAAAAGCAATTATTTTCACTATCAGCCCGTTTGTTTAAAAACAGCTGATTATCAGGGACGATTATATCCTGCCAATCAAAAGGGGGCGGAAAAACGTGTTTAGACTGCAACCCATACTGTGTGTGAAGAAAATCTCGTGTTGAATTTAGGGCAAGTTAACACGACAATAATGCTAAAAATAGCGACGTTAACACAGACTATTTGACCCAATGAATCACCCGTAGTTCAACCCAGGGTTGCCAGATCTATGTTTTTTCACCAGACCAAAAATTATTTGTAGCGCCTCTCATCCAATAATCGCAAAGAGCTTTGTGCTTTGTTACTTGTGATTTGAAACAAAGTCTTAGCTTTCAAATTCTGTCATTTTTATCATGAGATTCAAAAACTAAATGGCATTTTGGCGCTCTTAAATGTGATGAGAGAGATCGCTGTAGTGCCTCAGTTCAAGTGGCAGCGCAAGTCTTTTCTTCCACTTTAAGATAAGTTACAGCACGGAAACGCATAAACATCATAAGTTATGATGAAAGATACAGTACAACTCTTGCAATCGATTAATCAGTATTTCAACCGCTATTTTATATTTCAAAGTTATTTATTTGAGTGTAATTATTATATCTGAAAATAAATACCAGTTGAATATAATAGCTCTGTTGTTAATTTTAACCTCTATTATTATAGCAATGTACCAAAAAAGGTTTCCCTGTAGTGTTTGCAGCATTATTTGGAAGAGATTTTTTTTCCTTAAGAAAAAAAACAAACTATCGGTTTAGGCAGATATCATTCTGAATAATCGGCTATCGGTATCGACAGATAAATTTTGTATCAGTGCATCTCTAGTATTTTCTATTTGCATTTTTTGTGCTTATTAACATATGTAGTCCTTAGCTTAGCAACATGCTAATGCCAAAAAGGCATCTTTTTGTCATGAAAGTATTAAGACATTAGCTTAGCAACATGCTAATATCAGACTCTATTGAAATCTATTGGTTTTCAGTTTTATATGTTATGGCTAAGTGACCATTAATGCCGTTATAAAGACCATATTAATATATATTTTGGTCGCCACAGTTACCGCTATCTGCTGATTCGGTCGGGCCAGATTCTCCGTCAGAGTCCGAGTAGAAAGGTTTCTCCACTTTCTTCTCCTTACGATCCTTCCGGCTTGTGCATTTGCTCCAATCTGGAATCTGCAAAAGAAATCGCAAAACACCATCAAAATTAGCTCAAATACATCTGGAGAACCTAATCAGAGAGAGAGAGAGAGAGAGAGGTTCATATAACGGCCATGAATGCCTCTTTACAAGCATCAAATGTCTTCGTCTACACTCATACATTAATATAATTAAGCTTCTTTAGACCTGCATCTCTCTCCGCTCAGCATTTGGTGTCTACAGCAGGGAAGGTTGTGCATTCATGGCCACTTTCATTCTTGTTGTGTACTATAACACACGTATAATTAAAGAAATCACATCCTTAAAAAAGACCCCCAAAGACCTCCAGCACTGATTTACCCAAGACTAGTTTGACTTTAAACTAGAATTAGCATGCGGGGTGTTTAGAGCATAAATTAGCGATTAGCGATTAGCGACTAGCATCAGTGCTGTAGGCCATTTCTGAGGTGTTTTTTTGAGGATTCTGGTCTTTAATCGTAGAGCAAGGGCTGAGGAAAGGGAAAGGCTGATCTAACACAGTACAGACGCTACGCTAGGCTGGTGGCAAAAGCTCTTTGGGTCTGACGCTAAGGGTGACTGACAGACTCACGCTGGTTAAAGTGGTGACTCTTTCGAGCAGCCTAATAACCTGGCAAACAGGAAAGAATAAAAAGAAACGCAAGAATGATGCTGTGAGATGGCCAGAAGAAGAGGAAAGAAAAGAACAGAACAGAACAGAACAGAAAAGAAAGAAAAAGATTTAAAAAGTACACACAAGGATTCAGGTTGCACTTGTCAACAGATTAGCACGTATATTTGGATGCGTTTCACATCCATATTTCGCAAACAGCTTCAGTCAAAGCAACTGAAAGTGTTAAGGCCCGTTCACACCAAGGACCATAACTATAAAGTTTCATAGGTATAACAATAAAAACACATCACGATATCATTGGAGTCACTTTCAGGACTATTTTTTTTTTCCAGATGATAACATTGACAGCCAATCAGAATCTACCCGTGTCTAAAGAGCGCGAAAGCTGCAAACGACGAAAGCAGTGCGCGCTTATAATAAACAGGACATTATCGTCCATTGGTGTGGACACTAATATAGTTATCGTTATAGTTATCGTTCTTGGTAAGAATGGGCATTTAGGGGGGAATTCACTAAGAATGAAAATAATTATTTACATCCATCTGCACTGTTTTAGCATTCAATTTACAATGCAAATTATGCAAATTTGATAACAAATTTAGTGATGAAAGCAATTTGCACAATTCACAATCTTTTGAATAGTTTTTAAGTGCTATGGGTGGTAACAAATGCAGCAGATTACCATTAATTCACATACTCTACCGTCCGGGACGGTCAACCCAATCTCACAGGAAAACGTAACTATTTTACAAAGTGGCGATTTCATATGAATTTGTACCATGTGATTGCGTATGAATCGTAAAAAGTAAGTGTGAAGGTCCTCCCGTAACCCCACCCCTAAACCGCCACTGGGGAGTAAGAACATCTTACGAAAAAATACGAACGAGAGCGTATGAATTCATACAAATCAATAGCCAAAATGTAAAATAGTTACGAATTGCCATGAGATTGTGTTGGGACGGATCGCTGTTATTCAGGCACCTGAAACGGCTCTTTAAAATGAAGAAAGTCACTGTTTAAATAAGACACAGGGTTTTTGCGTTGAAATATGGCTTGCAAAAGTGGCTGTTTAGTGAATTCACCCCTTTGTTTAGAGTTTTCAGAAGGTCTCTAATCATATACTCAATATGTCAATAACAAATCTGTATTAGGATGAAGTTTTAATGCTTTGCTGAGCATTTGGTGTCACAGTAAATGGAAGTGCAACATTAATATGAAGGTTTTGTGATGTGATGGTTTGCAAGGCAGAAAATGAGGTCAGCAGATTTCAGACTGAGATGCAAAAACACACACTTTAGTACAGCAAGGTCGAGCTGGGTGGCCCGACTACAAAGAGGACAGAGAGAGAAGCCACTGCACTCTTGTGAGCACCTCTCTCCAGTCTCCCAAGAGACCGATTCGGCCCTCACTGCTGTCTATGACCTCCTCCTGCTGCACAATATTATGGTGGGCGGGAACATAAAGAGACAGACAGACTGTCAAAAAGAGGATGTGGATGAACACTGGAGGGGATATAACCAATAACACACCCATCTATTAGATGAGAAATCTGCTGTGAGTGACGAGTGCTTTATGAAATAACAAAGATGATTATGCTGACAAAAACCTGAAGCTGGAATCAAGACCCTGACTGATCGGTGTGTGGTGCAGACCTCATGCATATGCAGATTTGATCATGGATTATTAATCAGGAAGGAGTGGCATGTGGGTGTGTCTGTTCTAGAACTCTCAGTGATTGAAAGGAAAATTCTAGAACTGCGCAATTCTAGTTTTTTAAACCATTCTGACAAAGAATTCTAGAATTTTGTTTTTAATCGTTTCAGCTCGAAGGAATGTTCAAGTTAAACTCTATCAAGATTTACACGCTGTTAATAGAGTGCAATAGTGAACAACAACTTTTTCAGTGGAATGGGTTCCGGAAGTTTTTGTCCCATTAATTTTTCTCATAGAGATTTTTTAAAAAGTCTTCATTTAAGAGGAGTTATAAGCCATGAACTAAACTAACCAGCTACGAGGTAAATCACAACATTAAAAAACTTTGAATTGAAGCAAAAAAGCATTTGAAAATTGGACAAAAAGGCAAAGGTACAATACTGTTGTTTGTTTCGATTCTCTGATTGGCCGAGATTTCTCCGCAGAATCATGGGTAATGTAGTTTCTCATCAGGAATTCCGCTTTTCAACATGATTATTTAAAAAAGAAATAAGTTAATAATAATGTGGTTAATGTTTCAACAAAAGAATATACCATCGATTAATAACCTCATGGTTCACAGTTATGATTAAAAATCAATTCCATTATGGCTGAAATGAAGGGGATTTTTACTTCCGGAACCCGACTTTTTCGAAAATTATTATTATTATTGACACCAATAATACATGAATGTATTATTCAACCAATAGGGCTGCAGGATGAGTAGCTCCCACCCAATTGAAATGCACAGTGTGTGATTAATGCGTTATGAAGGTGGAGTTATGCTAATGAGCAAGGAGAGTGAGCGATATAAAAGTGATTGAGAGTAGCATGTTTTTTTTGTTAGCGCTTTGGGGTGTTTCTTTGGGAGGTCTTGCACGTTGGAGCTCCCTCTGGTGGTCTGTAGGAGAAGCACCCCTGCGCCCTCTGGCCCTGCCTCTGTCAGAACTGTTCTCCCTGCACACACAGAATCCTTCACCTCCACGTTGCGCACGGACGGGTCAGGCGCAGATTCGGGCCAGTCGGGCAGCTCCTGGTATCCGCCGGCTTTAGCGTTCAGCAGATGAGACAGTGATCCCAGCTGGAAGTGATCTCTGTCTGCAAAGAAAATGAAGAAAAATCACAAATGAGATCTCTTTAATGTCTCAATTGTGTCCTGCTCCTCAGATTTTTCTTCTGAGGATCCAAAGAGATTCAAAAGAGATCTCAAAATGTCTCAAACTGTCTCAAAATGTCTCAAAACCAAAGATTACCTTCAAATCTTAATATGAACTCAAATATCTACCTCTTTCAACTCTTTATGTAGTCATTTTAGGAGAAACATCTGAGACAAACTTGATACTGAACAATGAAATATGGGTTAGGCGATACCTTTAAATGGAGACTCCAGGACGGGGGCGGGCTTGAGCGCAAGGAAAAGCTTCTTTGCGTATTTGCTGAGAGCGCCGCTCTTATCGGTGGGAACAATTAGTTGGCGGATGAAGCGGGCACGATCTCTGATGTCATAGTTTTGATCATATTTCGCCAGGTTCAGTACATACTGCGTCAACAGTTTAGTCTGAAAGACGGAAAAGAAAAGGAAAAAAGTCTCAAGAGTTTCATGCCTGACAGGCAATGTTACATGTGTGTGTCTAAATGATATGACATGCAGACAGAAATTGTCTCGCTTGATTAAACAATGACTCCTGTTGTGTCTCTCCAGCTTTCATTCAGACTGATGCTCTGACGCAGGGTTATTATAGTGTACTGAAACCATAAATACACATTTCCGTAACTTGAAATAAAATAAACATTAACTGAATTAAAATAAAATAAACTTATTTTATTCCAAAGCCAATTTCAAGTGGAAACCATCCAACCGCTCTAAAATATAAACACTTACCATATAATCAGGGTAAAAAAAACAAACATGTTTTGTATGAAGGATTGATGATGCATTGAAAAAGTAAGTTACATAGTTTACCTTTAAGCAAGTGTCCTGCACATTAACTGTACATTTAAAAACTGAAGGAAAAAAAACACTGATTTGTTTTTTTTTTTCGCTTTCTAACACACTTTACCATGAGATATAAAGAATAAAATCCTTCAGGATTTGTTTTGTGCATTGTTGTGAGACTCCATATCCTATCTATGCTTTAGAGAATAAAAAAAAATCCATAATATTTTAGAGAATAAAAAAAAATCCATAATATTTTAGATATAATACACATATTAGTCATGTCCCCATGTTTCACTCAGCCCTATATTGTCCTGTGCACCACCACATAATTTCAGATCGTTTCAGGGGTTTCAATAAAGCTCAAACTATCTTCAAACATCATTTTGGACAACACTGCCAAACATCGGTTATCTGGATGTCTTAAACTGACTTTCCATGTATTTTTAATGTGAAAACTTCAAATTTTAATGCGCTCGATTAATGTTACTGCCAATTTATTTTCTTGTTTACTTTCATTTATGAGTTTCGTTATGTTGCATAATGCAAGTTGCCTTGCTTACTGCTAATGTGTGTTGCATTATTTATCCTAGCATGTTAAAAACAGCAGTAAACACTAAACAGTATGCAAGCAAGCATGCATATAGTCAGGGTTATTAAACTAAAAATAATGTTTTAATTGAAATAAAGCTAAAATAAAATCTAAATATTGGATAAAAAACTAGATTGCCTTGAAAACTAACTGAAATAAGGTTAAGCTGAAGCACAAAAATTATTGAATGGACACAAAACAAATCTTAATCTAAATATTATATATTAAAAAGTAATAAAAACAAATGTATATATATATATATACTCACCTAAAGGATTATTAGGAACACCATACTAATACTGTGTTTGACCCCCTTTCGCCTTCAGAACTGCCTTAATTCTACGTGGCATTGATTCAACAAGGTGCTGAAAGCATTCTTTAGAAATGTTGGCCCATATTGATAGGATAGCATCTTGCAGTTGATGGAGATTTGTGGGATGCACATCCAGGGCACGAAGCTCCCGTTCCACCACATCCCAAAGATGCTCTATTGGGTTGAGATCTGGTGACTGTGGGGGCCATTTTAGTACAGTGAACTCATTGACATGTTCAAGAAACCAATTTGAAATGATTCGAGCTTTGTGACATGGTGCATTATCCTGCTGGAAGTAGCCATCAGAGGATGGGTACATGGTGGCCATAAAGGGATGGACATGGTCAGAAACAATGCTCAGGTAGGCCGTGGCATTTAAACGATGCCCAATTGGCACTAAGGGGCCTAAAGTGTGCCAAAAAAACATCCCCCACACCATTACACCACCACCACCAGCCTGCACAGTGGTAAGGCATGATGGATCCATGTTCTCATTCTGTTTACGCCAAATTCTGACTCTACCATCTGAATGTCTCAACAGAAATCGAGACTCATCAGACCAGGCAACATTTTTCCAGTCTTCAACTGTCCAATTTTGGTGAGCTCTTGCCAATTGTAGCCTCTTTTTCCTATTTGTAGTGGAGATGAGTGGTACCCGGTGGGGTCTTCTGCTGTTGTAGCCCATCCGCCTCAAGGTTGTGCGTGTTGTGGCTTCACAAATGCTTTGCTGCATACCTCGGTTGTAACGAGTGGTTATTTCAGTCAAAGTTGCTCTTATATCAGCTTGAATCAGTCGGCCCATTCTCCTCTGACCTCTAGCATCAACAAGGCATTTTCGCCCACAGGACTGCCGCATACTGGATGTTTTTCCCTTTTCACACCATTCTTTGTAAACCCTAGAAATGGTTGTGCGTGAAAATCCCAGTAACTGAGCAGATTGTGAAATACTCAGACCGGCCCGTCTGGCACCAACAACCATGCCACGCTCAAAATTGCTTAAATGACCTTTCTTTCCCATTCTGACATTCAGTTTGGAGTTCAGGAGATTGTCTTGACCAGGACCACACCCCTAAATGCATTGAAGCAACTGCCATGTGATTGGTTGATTAGATAATTAATGAGAAATTGAACAGGTGTTCCTAATAATCCTTTAGGTGAGTGTATATAAAATTGACTAATTTAAATAAAAAAATGATATAAAAATTCAGGTTATTAAAAAAAAATATTTTGAATACAGTGTTTCTTCGCTCACCTGTTTTGAGTTAGTAAGATACAGTTTGGCAGCCAAATTGATGATCTGCAGCTTGACGATGTCCTCCTCGTTGGTGAACGTTTTGGCCATCTTTCTCAGGACGTCGGGGGAGATTTTGGGGACGTGCTCGCAGTACTCCCCGATCAGCCACAGGATGCTCGCCCGGGCCATCGGCACCTGAACCACAGGCACATTATCAAGACTATGGAGTCAATCTGAAATGTGAAAGTGGGCAGTTCGGATCAGAACGCTACCTGGATGTTGTCGATGAGTTTGGCCATGTGTTTGATGATGTCGCTGTGCTGTTCAGGCTGCATCTGTAGAAGCTTTTTGATCACCACAACTGATTCAGCCACAACCAGCTCTGAAAACACACAAACACCAATGTTATGCAAAATATTACTCAACATTATCAGACGGACATCTTTGGCCACTGCATTGTGTCTCTCAGCATGTGATGGACCAATTTCAAGCGTATTGAACGTATTTATTGTAACATTTGTATGTCAGAGGCCCATATTTTTCTTCTTTTGCATGATAAGAACCTCTTCTGACATAAGAGCTAATAACTTTTGTTGTCAGCTTGAACGGCGCTCGCTTTATGGATAGTTAATGATAGCCTGGGCATTAAACACAGTTCTGTTGCATTGGGTCTAGCTGTTAGCGTCGTGTGCGAACACACACTCTCACCGTCTCTGTTGGACAGCAGCTGTACGAGGCCGTTCAGACAGGTGTCTCTGACCTCACCAATGTTTGTAGCACAGCGACCAATGGCCTGAATGCTGGCCGCCACGAAATCCTTATCCATGCTCTTAATATACGTCTACAATACAAAAAGAGAAATACATCATTATCCCTATTCATAAACTGGAATAAACACAAGCAGAGAAATATACTGTTGTCTACAATCGTAATATGGGTGATTGACAAAATAACATAGACGTGAACTTTTTTTATTCAACATGAAGATTTTAGGTTAAAATGTATCTGTGTATAAGGAAATGTATTTTAGATAGTATGTGTCACCATTTCATTTTCTTTTCTTCATCCACCTTTTAGTTTTCAGTTTTAGTTTAGTTCACTTAAGTAATCATGTGGTGTGACAAAATAATCTAATAAGTCTCTAAAAATAATCTATCTTAAACGGCAAACAATGTTTAATATTCATATTTAAGTTAAGGAATTTCATATATTAAAAATGTTATATTAGTTTCAAAAAGTATACACTACTGTTCAAGCTTGGGATCAGTAAGATTTTTTTTTTTTAAAGAAGCATTTATTTTCAGCAGGGATGCATTAAATTGATCAAAAGTGACAGTAAAGACATTCATAATGTTATGAAAGCACAACTTTTCAACACTGATAATAATCAGAAATGTTTCTTCAGCAGCGAATCAACATATTAGAATGATTTCTGAAGGATCATGTGACACTGAAGACTGGAGTAATGATGCTGAAAATCCAGCTTTAAATCAAAGGAATAAATTACATTTTAAAACATATTCAAATAGAAAATAATTATTTTAAATTGTAATAATATTTCACAATATTAATGTTTTACTGCATGTTTGTTCTAATAAATTCAGAGCGTGAGCATAAGACATTTAAACATTTAAAAAGAAATCTTACCAATCCCAAACTTTTGTAGACTTACATTATATTACATTATTAAAACCATAAGAACAAAACATGTAAATAGATACCTGAAATTCTCTCAGGATAGTGGAGATGTTCGTCTCATTAGCCAAATTAGTCAAAACCTCCAGCTGTGTTAATAAGAGAAGATAAAATGATCAGTCCAGCTTTAAAACACTCAAAATATCTGAAGCAACATTCTTTAGTGAAATAATTCCATGACATAATATCTCCGCATAGAGTTTCTCATTAAAACTAACGCTTTTCAAAGTCAGATGTGACTCAGTTGCGCGTGTCCGTGTCGGTTCACCTTGAGAATCTTGATCTGCGTGGGGTCTGTGGAGCGGATATAAAAACTCTTCAGGTACGGCTCAAACATTCCCTAAAAGACAGACACACAGCATATTCAAACACCACAGCATTCATCGAAATTCTTGCATTTTCTATTATTCTATTATGCCTTTTTTCAAGGTCCTGAAATTTTTTCAATTTTTCAAGGACAAACCATTGAATATAAAAAGCACCACATGAGGGTCTTCAGTTTAAATATTTCAACTATATTAAAGCCTTTTCATATGATTTGCACCAACGTTCATCAATGTATTGAACAATATGGAGTAAATCATCCAGCTTCAGATCAAGTGTTGGAAGATGATACACAAAGTTCAAATAATTTAAACTTTGACCCTAGTTGCTGACCAGTCCAACGCACATCTGTAAGTTGTACGACACAATGTCAAAGGAGTGTCATGATTTTCAGAAAATACACACTCATCATATAAATGGTAAAAATGCCCTTCAGTGACTCAACGTGATGCATGTCCTTTACAGTGCCATGTGAATCACTCACCCGTCTCTTGATGGACATCGTAGCGACGTTTTGAAGCACGACGTACTGCACTTCACTACAGAGACACAAATCACACGGCAACATCAGTGACTAAACAACATGAAGAGGTTTATAATTCAAAAACCTTCATGTGTATTTGAGAGGGACAATTCTATTTCCAAAAACGAGGCTAATTGGAGTGATGCATGTGAATGGTGGATGATGGCGTCTCTCTTTCTGCAGCTAATGCCAAAGTCTGCAGTGTCATCATCCAGTGCCAATTTATCTGCACTAATGATGTCATCGGCCGATGGCCATACATTACATGGTCAAACAGGAAGCGTGGGCCTGTTCGTCTCAGAGCTGGTGTGAGTGTGTTTATGTTTCATTAGTAAGTGAGTGATTACTCACCTGTGGCTTCGCATTAACCTGACCAAAGCCTTGGCAATGACGCCCACCTCTGCTTTAGGAGCCAAATGGAAGTACAGCTGAGCTACAGCCATCACCACCTACAGAGATAGATAGATAGATAGATAGATAGATAGATAGATAGATAGATAGATAGATAGATAGATAGATAGATAGATAGATAGATAGATAGATAGATAGATAGATAGATAGATAGAGAGAGAGAGAGAGAGAGAGAGAGAGAGAGAGAGAGAAGAGAGAGAGAGAGAGAGAGAGAGAGAGAGAGAGAGAGAGAGAGAGAGAGAGAGAGAGAGAGAGAGAGAGAGAGAGAGAGAGAGAGAGAGAGAGAGAGAGAGAGAGAGAGAGAGAGAGATTTATTATGGTAACGGCTGAATGAACATAATTTTTCCGTGTAGAGGTCATGTGTGAAAAGGTCTCATTGTCACAATGCTGGTAAATCAAATTAAGGAGACTGTAGGAAACGTTAAAAACTGATGCTACTTTATGTGAACAAGTGTTTAAAAATATATATTTTTTAAAACCAAACTAAACTAAACTAAAAACCATTTAAATAATTTAGAAACAAATTAAAATAAAATAAAAAAACTAACTTATTAATAATAAAAACTAACAGGATAATAATAATAATAGTTAAGAATTGGCACTGAACTAAAATACATTTGCATGACTCCAACACTAATTAAAACATTAACATTTTTATCCAAAGCAACTACGTCAAAACTGTTGGGGGAAGAAAAAACAAATATCGGACTAAGTTTCAGATTTTGATACACACATTTTTTATTATGTACGCAAGTGGATTTTAAAATAAAGAACAATAACTGTTATAAACAAGGTTGTGTACCAGTCAGAACTGAATCATAAATTCCAATTAAATTCCTGAATTTGAATTACATTTAAATTGAGGTGGAAAACAGAACACAGAATTGTAAATGAAATTTGAACTTTTTGAAGTTTTGACGGCATTGGAAATGAATGGGAGACGAATTTCATCTAGTGGAAGCATTTGGTACTGTATCTTACTGAAAGCTCATTTTATGAAATATCAACCTCAAATTTGAAGCACAACTTGTTTAGATTTATGGCTTTAATTTTCTTACAGTTTTAGAGTAAAACATGCTTTGGAAAATATATATTTCATATAAAATTTTAAAATAGTATTTTTGCGCATTTTTCATAATAATAAACTTAAACTTCTATAACTTTTTTTAGTTTAACTTTTTTCACTTCAGCAGGTCTAAGCTCAAAAAGTGATTAACAGGTAATAAATGGATCATAACTATTCCATAAATATAATTTAGTACCATAAAATCCCCATAAAAATACAAAATATTAAATCAATTTAAAAAATGATCAAACTAAAATAAAGTACATTAATTTCATTTAAATCAAAATTCTGTCATTTTTGACTGCCAAGCGAGCAGCACCAGAGGGTTAAATTGAACATTTTGCCTAAATTTAAATGTTAGACAAATCATTAAATAAATAATTCTGTTTCTAAATAATAATAATAAATAATAATAATAATACATTTTATTTATAATGCGCTTTTCTCAAACCCAAAGCGCATACAATGAAATAAACAAATACAGCAAGAGCAATAAAAACAATTAAGAAAAAGTAGCCTTGAACAAATGTGTCTTAATTAATCCTTTGAATTGTCCCAACGTTGGCGCACTTTTGATTGTAGAAGGAAGTAGGTTCCATAGCTTGGGGGCTCTGCAGGAAAAAGCTCTTTCCCCCATGGTCTTGAGCTTACACAAAGGCTGATGTAATAAGAGTGAATTTGCAGAGCGGAGAGAACGTGATGGAGTATAAGGGCTAATAAGATCACGTAGGTACGCTGGAGCGATCCCATGTAATGCCTTGTATGTTAGAATGAGAACTTTAAAATCAATTCTCACCTTTACTGGAAGCCAGTGCAACTGTGAAAGGACCGGTGTAATGTGCTCCCGAGGAGAGGTACGAGTGAGCACACGAGCAGCAGAGTTCTGTATATACTGTAGCCTGTTTAATGATTTTGCTGGAAGGCCAGAGAACAGGGCATTGCAATAGTCTAGCCTAGTTGTAATGAAGGCATGTATGAGCCTTTCTGTGCCTAAACAATAATTCCGGAGGGAGAAGTGTGTGTGACTCACGGCAGCATTGCGGCTCTGCAGCAGAGGTTTGGTGTTCCTCAGTAAGAGTCTGTGATCGGGGTCCATCACGTACGGCTTCCTCTTCGGCAGAGCGGCCGCCTCGGCTTTCTTATCTTCATCTTCCTCATCCTCATCAGAGGCGTAGAACGCCCTCTCGCCACTCTCTTCTAACAGAGACTCCTGCGTACATACACACATGTTGATATGTAATTATAAGGTATTATTATCTTAAATTGTCTTGATATTTATCTATAACAGTGCATTATACTATATCCTTTTTTTCTCTCCATAACATTACCAGAAAAATGTACCACAAAATGATATTATATTACATTAACCTATCACTGTATCTATACACATTACTATATCTATATATCTTGCTGTCCTTTTTCTCTCTTGTGCATGCGTGTGTGTACTGTATATCTTTTATTGGTTTCTTTCTTTGTATAAGCTATGTCATGTTTTTATTACAGTATGTGTGGTTTGAAGAAGAAAAGAGACATTGTGCAGGGAAAGAAGTGTATAAGTCCTCCTCAGATACACACACACACACACACAGATACGTGATACTCACGTTGACGTTGGGGTTGAGGAACTGCGTCCTGGCGTAGCGCGTGAGCATGTTGATGATGACCACCTGACCCCACTCCTCCACGTCAATCAACAGGTTACACAGCTTACGGTAGTTCTTATGGATCAGATCGATGCGGTCCGGACACACTTCCTCAAACGCCATCACCACACTGCCCGCTACCAGCTACACACACACACACACACAGCATGTGTAAGATCACATTAGAAGTGATGATTATATGTCAGGGCTGTCCTGAAATGATTCTGTCACTCACTGTGGTTTTATCAGCCAGCAGCTTCTCGATGACTTCAATAAGCTGATCCTTCTGTTCTGGGTCTAGACTGAATGAAGGAGAGAGAAAATGACCATCAGCTGTGTGTATTAGTTTTACTTTTATTGAATATTGAACATTTAAAGTAGTCAAAACTACAAGCTAACATTTTTAGCTACAACACCAGAAAACTTAGAATAGAAATAGCTATTGATTGTGATTGGTCAATTGCATTTGTGTGGTCAAATAGTTTTCTTATATAATTACAGCTTTCTAAAGAAAATTATTTCAATCCAAATAAATATTTAATGTTCATTTATTTATTTATTTGCTAGTGGGATATTTAAGGTTCTTGATCACACTCTCAAAACCGATTATACATTATGTTTTACATGCTTAACTGCAGTCAAGATTAATAAACAAACGTATATAAATAAATATGATAATATAATACATTTAATAAAATGATAGAATATAATAACGTTTATATATATATATATATATAAATGTATATATTATATAATATAAAAATGCATTTTATATAATAAATATGATTTTATAAGGGAGACTTTTTTTTTAAATGTAAAGAAATTAATACTTTTATTCAGCATTAAATCGAGCAAAATGAACTAAAAGTATTTTTCTAAATTGTTTTCATCAAACAATTTTGAAAAAATGTATCATGCTTTTCATAAAAACACGAAGCAGTGCAACAGTATTCAATATTGATATTAACAAGAAATGTTTCTTGAGCAGCAAATCAGCATATTAGAATGATTACAATGATTAGTAATGATGCTGAAAATGTAGCTTTGATACCAGAAATTATATTCAAATAGAAAACAGTTATTTTAAAAAATAATTCACATTTTAACTGTTATTGTTACTGTATTTTTAATCAAATAAATGCAGCCTTGGTGAGCAGAAGAGACTTGTTTTAAAAATATGTACAAATGTACCAACCCCAAGCTTTTGAATGGCAGTGTAATTGAATTGAAAGCAGTGTTTGCTCAATGAACAGTTAGTTACTCCCTAACGCTGATTTGCAGGTGAATTTGTGTTGTTAAGACAAGACGCTTGTTTTCTTGTACCAACCTGTGTAGTTTGGGAATGGCATGAGCTGCGGTCTTGCGGACGTATGGAGACATGTCAGACGCCGCCTCTTTGATGGCTAACATCATGATGGGCACAATGATGGTCACTCGGATGCTGGACAGCACACGCAAAGCGCTCGCACGGATCAGCTGGTTGGGGTCCTGAATCAGGGGTTACAATGAAAATAATTGTATTTATTGAGAACTAATGCTTCAATAATGTGACTTCACACACCAGAATTAAAAGATGTGACAGGTATTTCCTTCATCTGAAAACCAGAGGACATTTTTGTTCCCATATGACACACTTTCGCAATATGTTGCATGTTTAGTAAGCATTTAGCTGCATCACTATTTGTATTTGCATATATATATATATATATATATATATATATATATATACACTGAACAAAATTATAAACGCAACACTTTTGTTTTTGCCCCCATTTTTCATGAGCTGAACTCAAAGATCTAAGACTTTTTCTATGTACACAAAAGGCCTATTGAGCATGTTTGGGTTGCTCAACATTCCACAGGCCACAATCAACAACCTTTTTCTTTTTTTCGGGGGGTCCATTTTACAAACTGCACATTTTAGAGTGGCCTTTTATTGTGGCCAGCCTAAGGCACACCTGTGCAATAATCATGCTGTCTAATCAGCATCCTGATATGCCACACCTATGAGGTGGATGGCTTATCTCGGGAAAGGAGAAGTGCTCACTAACACAGATTTAGACAGATTTGTGAACAATATTTGAGAGAAATAGGCCTTTTTTG